TCAGAAAGGAATGTTCTTTTGTACAGTTTCAACCATAATTTATTGTGGTTTTATTTATCCACCATAGAACTAGAATCTAAGTAATCAATTTATAAACTAGCAAATGAAGAAATGAAAAAGGGTTCATGCATATGGAAAAGGCAGACTAACATTTTAGCCCCAAAGTTCTCTTTTCGTGATTATGGATCATTCCAAAATCAAAAATTATTGGCTGCTAAAAAAATTATTACTGCTAAAAAAATCATTTTCTCTCTTGTCTATGTGAATAATACCCATTTCATAGGCAAAGTGTCAGGAAGCATGATATGTTATTCATGTTGTATTTGGGCACATATAAAGTCTCTATGGGCACAACTTCTAAATCCTCTACATGACCTACAGGTCAAATCTTTATTTTGCAGACAAATCACAAATCTGTTTGGTCTGATGAAACACAGAAAGCATTGTGAATGAAGCTAAGACCTGCATAAGTGAAGCCACTACCTTTATTTTCTTCATCTGAAACAATATCCAAATAATTTTTATAAGGTAGTATATGGGAGTGCTATTGACTTTTTTTTACCTCAAGGTGATAATGACAAGGAACAGTAAAATTCTGTAGAGTCTCTGACTGCTATTCCATATCTAGAACTAGATTCTAAGGAAGTAATCAAGGATATGCCCACAACACTAGAAGACTTTATAATAATGCAAAAATAAATGTACAAAAACAACTGTTGATTAGCTAACATTCAGTACATCCAGCAGTGGGATATTATGTAATCATTAAAAATATTTTCAATAGAATACTTTATTACGGGAGTTCTTAATATGGTATTTGGATGGAAAAATCATATTCGCAAATAGAATGAACACATATACATATATGTATCATATATTTATAAAATTGTGATTATTATGTGATATAAAGATATAAGCAGAAGTGAGGTCAGCAAGATGGCAGAAAAGATTTCCCAACACTCATCCTCTCACAAAAACATCAGTTTGAACAACCGTCTATGCACAAAAATAGCTTCACATGAACTAAGAAATTTGGGTGAGCGGTTACAGCATCTACGTGTGGCATAGAAATAAGAAAAGATTTTATTGAACAGGGTAGACAGGACTAAATTAGTTGTAAGCAACTTCAACATTCAACATTCTTGTACATTTCATCAAGTCCATTTCAACAATGGACTGATCATCCAGACAGAAAATCAGTAAGCAAACAGTGAAATGAAACAACACTATAGACAAAGTAGACTAAGAAAATATATATAGAATATTCTACCCAAGAGCAGCAGAATACAATTTTTTTTACAGGTACACATGGGAAATTTTGCAAGATAAATCCTCTATCAAGCTACAAAACAAGTCTTAACAAATTCTTGAAGATTTGTATCAAGTATCTTTTCCATGTTTTCTAGTATGAAACTAGAAGTCAATAACAAAGAAAACTGGACAATTTACAAGTATGTGGGAATTAGTATACTCATGAATACTCAATGGTTAGAAAAGAAATAAAAAGGAAAATTTAAAAAATCTTGATAGGAATGCAAATAGAAACAAAACATACCAAAATATATGGGATACAGCAAAATCAGATTTAAGAGAAAAGTTGATAGCAAAAAACTGTCTGCGTCAAGAAGGAGAAAAATTTCAAATAACCTGACTCTACACCTCAAGGACCTAGAAATAGAAGACTGAACTAAACTTGAAGTCAAAAGAAGAAGGGAAACAATAAAGATCACAGTAAAAATAATGAAAGGGTAGAAAAAGAACAGAATAGATGGGTCTGGGGTTGTGGCTCAGCGGCAGAGCACTTGCCTAGCATGTGTGAGGCACCAGGTTCAATCCTCAGCACCACATATAAATAAATAAAAAATAAAGGTACAACAACAACTAAAAAGTATTTTTAATAAAAGAACAGAAAAGATCAATGAAATTAAGAATTACCTTTTTGAAAAGGTAAAACGTTTGACAAACCTTTAGAAAGATTTACTAAAAAAAAAAGAGAAATCTCAGATAAATGGAATTATAAGTGGAAGAGAAGACATTATAACTGATACCACAGAAACACAAAGGATCATAGAGACTATGATGAATAATTAAACACCCATAAATTTAGATGAACTATAAGAAATGGATTGATTCATAGAAACATGAAATCTCCCAGGACTCTATCATGAACAAATACAAAATCTAACCAGTCCAGTAAAAGAGTAAGGAAATCGAATCATTAATTCAAAACTTCCCAACGACAACAACAAAAGCCCATGACCTGACAGCTTCACTGGTGAATTCTGTGCAACATTTAAAGAAAAACTCATGCCAGTCCTGAGTTTTCCAAAACACTGAAGAAGAGGGAAACCTGAAAATTCATTTTACAGGGCCAGCATTACCCTGACACAGAATCAAAGAGGCTAAACAGGCATTTCTCAAAAGAGCATATCCAAACGGCTCACAGATAATGAAAAAAAATACTTAACATCACTACTCAGGGACATGAAAATTCAAATCAGAGATATCAGCTCACACCTGTGAGGATGGTGATTATCAAAAAGACAAAATTATAAAAAGTATTGGCAAGGACATGGAGAAGAAAAAGGACTCCCCTGCCCAGTACTAAGGATTAAACCCAGGTCTTATACATTCTAGGCAAGAACTCTACCACTGAGCTACTCTAGTTCTTTTTGAACTTTTGAGACAGGGTCTTGCTAAGTTGCCCAGACTGGCCTTGAACCTGCAATTCTCCTGCCTCTTTCTTCAGAGCAGCTAGGATTACAGGTTTGCATCACTGCATCTAACTGAGGGGAAAAAAACACCTTATATGCTGTTGTGGGAATGTAAATTAGTATAGCCATTATGGAAACCAGTATGGAGGTTCCTCAAAAAACTAAAACTAAAATTACCATATGATCTAGCTATCCCACATCTTGGTATATGTCCACAGTGATTTTGATATTGAAGAAATTTCTGTACTCCCATGTTCACTGGAGGATTATTCAAAATAGACAATATATGGAGTCACCAGATGAATGGATAAGAAAATGTATACACACACACACACACACAGACACACACATAATGGAATACTACTCAGCCTTTAAAAAGAAGAAAATGTTGTCATTTGTAGCAACATGAATGAAACTAAAGGGCATTAGGCTAAGTGAAATAATCCAGTCACAGAAAGACAAATACTGTATGATTTCACTTATATGTGCAATCTAAAAAAGGCTGAACTCAAAGAAGCAGAGAGTATAATGGTGGCTGCCAGGACTGGGTTAGGAGGAGATCAAAGGATTCAAAATTTCAATTACATGGGATGAATAAATCCTGGAGAGCTCTTGTAATGCATTGACTACAGTTAATAATATGTCACACATTTCAACCTACTAAGAGAATAGATCTTAAACCTTCTCACCACAACTTTTAAAGTAAGGCAAGCCTTCTGCTTATGACTTTGTCATTTTCATAATTAAACTGGGTCAGAAACCAGATCTAGCTCTGGTCACAGTTGGTTTGGCTCAGTCTGCGGTTGTGATTAGCCAAAAATATTTTACTTGGATTTCTCCACACTCCCCATATATAAAGAATAAGGAAACAAGAAATGATTTTTCCTTCCACATTTTCTAGCTTTCATTGAAGAAGTCATCTCAATCAGCAAAGGAGAGGAAACCTTCTATTTCACTTCTGCTGCAGCAACTGGCTCATGCAGAGTACGCCCTGTGCACCATTCTAAGAACTCTACGTGTCATTCGAACGTCACATCGCTTGAGGAGGTACGTGCTACTATTTTTACTACCACTTTTAGCTGAGGGACTTAAGGCTTAGGGAGGTTAAGTAACTGGCCTACAGTTACCCAGCTCTTCCATGGCAGAAGTCAGGAATGGAATACGGGTAGCTTGACCACAGGTCCGAGCTCTTTACCACCACATCCCATGTACACAGGGCGAGATAAACACAGCAGTGAAACCAAACCAAGACTTGGTTAAAGCTCTCCGCACATTCCCTGCCCACATTTTGGTACAGTTTTATTTCTTTTTTCTTTTTGTAAGGAGGGGAGAGGAATAAAAAGAAATGGAGAAGTGGTTTTTTTTTTCTTCCCCAACAAAATGAGATCTGAGAAATTTATATAGCTATTAGCTGGTAAAGGCAGTAGAAATGTCAAATGATAATAAAGTCTAGGATGTGTTCTGTGTTTGGTTTTATGGGGAAGTTTCCTCTCACTATACAGCCAGAGCAGAGAAAAGAGCACGTACTCCAAATCATATGTTCTGCTGCAAATGGGTTTCTCGGATAACCTCCACTGGAAATGAAGTAAGCCAAAACCCAATCTAGTTCACGTGGTGGAATATCCGCAATGCAAGTGAATTATCCACACTTCACAGTCTCATTCCTAACTGTACATTAGAATAACTGGAAACAATTTTTTAAATCCCAAAGCCCAGGCACCCCAGTAGGTCCTGATGAATTGGTCTGGGGTGGGACCCAAGCAATGGTATTTTTTAAAAGCCCTCCAGGTGACTCTAATGTGTGAAAGAGCTGAGAATCACAGCGACCCATGATGATTACAGGCTTTGTATCTACTTAACACTTCCACCATTGACCGGCCACATAATACTAGTGATTTACTTCATGTTCTTCAGCCTGAGCTTCCTTATCAACAAAATATGGATAACACAAGTACCAATCTAGTAAGGGCAAAAATGAGATTAAAAAAAAAAAAGAACCTAGATCAGGATCTGGGATGCACAAAGAGTCAAACATTCACAGTGATGTTAATGGTGGCGGTTGTGGTGGTAATGGTGATGATAAAGATAATGGGAATTTTTTTTTTTTTTACCTAAGATTGTTATTACAATACGTTTCTCCATTCCAGAAAGCAAGGACCATAACTTCTACCCTAGAACAAACCTCTAGAACCTAATACAATTTCTAGTCCATTTTGAAGGAATAGTGAAGTTCCCTAGATGTGGTAGCTCATAACCATAGCCTAAAATGTAAGGGAACCCACTCACCTGGGATTGAAACGAATTTTCTTGGGAACTTCTCTGTGGTCTATGACCACTTTCTGATTGTCTCTATAATTAATGGGGTCATCGGGGATCCTAAATTTTGCCATCTGAATTTCAGAGTCACTCAGTTTAGCACGGGAAATTCTTGCATAACCCAACCTGTAACAGAAATAGGGATGGTTTATAAAGGCTTTATTATCACATAAAGATTTGATGCATAGAGCATGTGCTTAGCATGCACGAGACTCTGAAGTCAATTCTCAGCCATGCACCCTCAAAAAATCTGACATGATTTAGAAGATGGCACCTTCCTTATGAATTAATTTCCTATTTCTAACTTGACTTTGTGTATCCCAACTAGAATTAACTTGATTCGTTACTCTAAATATTAACAAAAATGTTGATTTTATGACATGATAGATAAGGAATATGCACAGAGGTTTAATTAACTAAATAATCTTAGCAGCCTTACTTTACTTTTTTACACTAATGAATATTCTGTCTCCACAAATTGCCTCCCATATAATTATGTTTTGAGTTAATAACAGGATTGCTTCAGAATGACAGGAGTGTATACCTAAATTCTTTCTTACCTTTAAAAATCCAAATACCACATGCATATTTTCAGCCCACACTTACAAACCTAAAAAAATCAAAGATTTTATATGTCTGAAAAATTCCACATCCTGTTTTGACTTAGAGCTTTCAGTTCTCCAGGAAATTCAAAGCACTTTACAGACATTATCCAAATAGTTCTTATTGAAGTGCTCAGATGGAAAAGTGGAGGAACCACAAGCAGCAAAGTATTCATTTTAATTTATTTATCTTTTGCCTCTTCCAAAAAAAAAAAAAAGAACTGTGTCAATTATTTCAGTCATTCATTTAACTAACTTAGTAAGCATACCAAGTCTCTATTGCATGCAGCACCTTTGTAGGTAGTGGGAAAAAGTAGTGAACAAAATGAAGTCCTTGCTCTCCTGGATCTGTTATTCTATTTGGGGAGACAAATTAAATAAGGACATATGGGTCAGGTGGCGATAGAGAAAAAGTAGAGATTGCTGTTTTATAGAGGATGGTCAGGTGTATCTCTCTGATGATTAACACTGGAGCCAAAAGTTGAATGAAGTAAGGGAGCAAGATGCACAGATTTCAGAATAGTGCATGCAGGAGTCCTGAGGTAGAAATGTGCTTGGTACTTTGGAGAACCAACTCTACCTTGACAGGAGCAGAGTGTATAATGAAGAACACAGAAGCAGATGAGCTCAGGGAGTGGGTTAAGGGCAGATGACACAAATTCTCCCCTGCAGGCCATTGTAAGGACTTCAAATTTTTAGAGCGAGATGGGAATCCATTAGAGAGGTCTGGGGCAGAGATCTGTTATGGCTCTCTGTAGAGAATAGGTGTTAGGGAAAGAGTCAAGGCGGGGGTGGGGCAGTTAAGAGGTTGCTGCAAGAATTTAGGTAAAAGACCATGAGGGCTTGGGCCAGCTTAGTAGGAGGAAGAGCATTTCAAGCCTGTAACCACACACAAAACTGAAACAGACACCCAGAGCCAGGGCAGGCAGGGGCAGCAAGTCTGACCCACGTAGGGGACAAGAGAGGAGCTGCCGCTGAGCATCAGATGTGTGTTTGAGCGGTCAGCCAGGTTACTGCAACTGTATAAGCTCAGGACTTGAAGTGACTTGTAATTCTAAGTCACTGACTCTGAGACAAATCCAGGTTCTTTATCTCTAAGATCAAAGTTCAAACCCATCTCACAGCCATTGCCTTCAAGAACACTCTAAAAGCCCTTGAAGATAAGGAACCTCAATGCCTATCTCCCACTAAAATAGGGAACTTCCCATTGTTGCCCAATAAGTATTTATCAAGCACCTACTAGGAGCAAAACTTTGAATTAGGTGATTGAGAGAGTTCTCCACAGATACATGCCAAGGAAAGGTCATGTGAACACATGGTAAGAAGGCAACCCTGGTGAGAGACAGTCCTCGCCAGACACCAACCTTGCTGGTAGACTGGTGCCTTAATCTTGATGTGCAATAAGAACAGAAATTTGTTTCAGCCATCCAGTAGGTATTTTGTTATAGCAGTCAGAGCAATCTTTTGTCATACATATACATACAAGTATGTGTGTTGTGTGTGTGTGTATATATATATATATATATGTTTACATATACATATATATATGTTTACATATACATATGTGTGTGTGTGTATCCAGTAATTAGCTATTATGAGCACAGGTTACTATAAATACCACTGTTTCTCGGTGACTAATGACTTTTGCAACTTGGAATTACACCCATTTCAGTCTAGATCAAAGATGGTGTTCTAAACATTCCAATATCCCCCATTAAAACAATCACATGGTCACATATTTAAACAGAAATAGTGTTATCAATCTGAGATATGAAATGCTTTATAAAACTAAGCCCTCAGCTTACCCTCTCCTGCCTTATCCTTCAGAAACACCAAATCGGTAGTCAAGCTATCTGTCCTGCAGCCATCTGAGCATGTGCTGATCCTTTTAGGGTTTCTGAATCAGTGGCATAATCAGAAGAACCTTATAACATCTCAAAGGCCTCCTAGACCCACCTCAGTGAGCCTATGAACCCATGGAGTTGTAGAAGGATCAATAAAGGTCACCACTTTATTAATATCCCAAGTCCTTAACAAGGTTCTACAGACCCTAACAAGATCTGCTCCTTTCCCTGGCTGCCCACTCTGCCCGCTTTCCTCCTCCACCCCTCTACTCAGCACGTGGACATACTGCAGCCCCATCAGCTTCACTTTTCCTCAAGCACAGCGGGCATTCTTGACTTTCACACTGTCTGGGCCCTATGCCTGGAAGGGTGTAAGGACGGCCTTAGCCTAAACAACTCCATTTAAAAATAAACCTGCCGTCCCACCGTGCCTCCCTCTGTAGGCACAAGCCTACAGAGTCCTCCAATATGTCATCAGGTATAGCCTGATAAAAATGAGTCACTTTCCACGACTCTGATGAGAGTCAGAGTGAAGTCACATGTCATTTGCCTTCGCCCCGATTAGAGTCAGCCATATGTCCTGACTCTGAAATGTAAGACGTCACTAAGAATCCTGGGAGCAGCTGATAGGGACCTAAAGGGCGAGCAGAGGCCCCAAAATTTACTAAAAATGATAGAGCAAATGAACAGACATTAGAGCCAGCCGATATTGATGTCCACTCACGGGAGAGCCTGATGAGGACCTGGACTGACATCCCAATTCTTCTCATCATTTGCCTGATCCTCTGCATCATCCTCACTGCTCTCAAACTCTACAGCAGCCTCCTGACCCTGGTGAGAACAGCAACTTCTCCTCACAATCGACTGGCTGTCAACTCCATACCAGGAGAAGCCTTCATCGGTTCCTGACCGGATCGCTGTGGTCTGAGGAGGGTGCATCTGCTGAACTTAAGGTCTAAGACTCTGGCACGTGAGCTTAGCATACAGAGGGAATGCCTGTAATAAGTCTGTCATGATTAAGTGTGTTTGTAGGGCTTAGCATTAACTTAGAATTGTTTGCTTTGAATTGATCATGTCTATTGCAGTGCCCAGCATTAAGGATTGTCATTTTCTTGATTAAGAACCTATTGAGTGAATTGTATCGAGTGATTTTTTGAGTGAATAAAACATTGATAAGAGCATAAGTGTGTGGACATTCTTTATTTCTTTCCTTGACTGCATAAGTCGCACCTTTGCCCATCACAATAAAGGGTCATTCCCCAGAAAGCTACATGATCCACCTTTTCAAATCTTGGCCCAAACATCATCTTCTCAGTAAGACCTACCAACCCTACTTATGATCACACTGTGCCTCCATATTCTGGATGCTCAGATCTTTCTGCCCACTCTTACTACCTTCTAAAATCATGCAGTTAAATATCCCATTGTCCATCTTCCTTCAGCAGGGCAGGGATCCTCAGCTTACTGTCACCCCCAGGGCCTGACATCCATTAAGCTCAATTGCTACTTACTGAATGGCAGATAGCAACAGAGAAGTGTACCTAGCAGTTTGTTATCACTAGACTGTGACTCATAACTGAATAAGCCCTATCCACAGGCAGAGGAGCTGGCTCTGTGATTCTGTATCATCCCTTGAAAGCAACCATTGTGCTTCATCAATGGGGACCACAGATCACTAGATACAAGATTACTTAAGAGATGAACAATTCAATGTCAATCCCTATCTTCATGTGGCCAGTATTAAGATGCTTCTGGGGGATGAACTGCTCTGTATGGAGGCCAGAGAGGTCTGTCCTAGTAGCCCGCACCAGAGTTCCCCACACTATTTCTGGGAGGGGAGCTGGAGGCTTCAGGTCAAATATCTCCAAACAGTTTTGAAACTAACAGGGGGACCCCCATGAGTTCAGGGAAGGTCTCCAGCCTCTTCTGTTCACTGAAGAAGTAGAAGGACATGCAAATCAACCCACTGGCCACATGATTTGTTCCTAGGAACCTCTCCCAGGGCTCCTCCCTTATTACCACACTCCAACCACCCTGGCTTCCTTGTTCCTACCAAAAAGCACTCAGTATACTCCCCTTTTGCTTTTGCACTTCCTTATTCCCTCTGCCCAAGTGCTTTTCCCAAGATATGCCTAGGTGGACTCCTTGTGTCATTCAGGGCACTGCCCAAAGGTCACCCCATAGTACCCTGCCCACCCTATGTACCCCACCCTCACCCCCAGCACTCCTTAGCTGACTCAATTCTTCCTGTTTCCATCACACTTGTCTCCACCTGTCTTGGCCTATCATTCCTTATCTGCTTCTTTCCTGTCTCTTCACTGGAATGTGTGTCCTGTGACAGTCAAACATTTTGTTTTGTTCCTATTATATCCTCACTGCCTAGGACAATACCTGGTACTTAATAAATATATGAGCGGATGAGGGCTGGGATTGCGGCTCAGTGGTAGAGCACTTGCCTAGCATGTGTGAGGCACTGAGTTCGATTCTTAGCACCATAGATAAATAAATAAACAAATAAAATAAAGGTCCATCAACAACTAAAAAATATATTTAAAAAACTATAAAAAATGACTGGATGAATAATTAGGACCTCTTTTTTGGTATTAAACTACTCTTTGCTTTATTTAAAGAAATTGTGTTTTCAAAACTAAGTTATGTATTTACATATTTGAATTTTAAGATCTTGCATCTATATTATTTTGGATCACATATATCCAGATATATATGATCCAAGAATATGTAAATATATGTTATGTTATCTTTGGAGATACACACACATACACACACACATATATGTTATCTTTGGATGACATTTTTATAAGGGATGACATTTTTTTAAAATGTAATTTACCATAGATATCTCACCACAGTATAATGATGACTCCAAGTGTGGTAATGTACCCAAGATTATATGATTAGAAACTGGCAAAGTTGGAATTCAAGCCTGGGACTTCCTTATGCCATGGTTGCTATGGTTTAGATGTGAGGTGTCCCCTAAAAGCTCATGTGTGAGATAATACAAGAAGGCCTAGAGGTAAAATGATTGGGTTATAGAGTCTTCACCCAATCCATAAATTAATCCCCCAGTAGGGATTAACTGAGTGGTAATTGTAAAGTAGGTTAGGTGTGGCTGAAGGACGTGGGTTCCTGGGAGCACCCCTTTGGGGTTTATATTTTGTCCTTGGTGAACAGAGCCCTCTCTGCTCCCTGGATGTCATGTTCCCAACTGCTTTCCTTCACCACACTCTTCTGCCAGCATGCTCTGCCTCACCTTGCACCCCAAGGAATGGAACTGGCTATCTAAGGACTGAGACCTCTGAAACCAGGAGCCCCAAACTAACCTTTTCCTCCTTAAAATTGTTCTTGTCAGGTACTTTGGTCACAACTGACTAAAACAATGGTCCATACTGTTTCCACCAGACCATAAAGTACCACTCCTAACATGCTGACAGTTACTTCCTTATCTCCCTTAACAGTTGACACAGTATTCTTGCTACATACTTGAGCTTAATTTGCTTAGCTATTTATACCTTCTTAAATCATTAGGCCCTGTCTTGAAAAAAATATGAAGTAGAGTAACTGAACAAATTAATGTTTAGGAAAACTAACAGAAATTCATTGCATCCATAAAGTTTTTTCTTCTAGGAGAGACTCAAAAGATGACAGTAATAATAGATTTAAAAAACACACACACACAAACCAAACATCTGTGCTCACCTGATCAACCCCCGATACATAATGTATTCACACCATCTGTCGTGATCTGTGCTATCGATATCCTATTGAAGAGCAGAGAGAAGAATATTTAAAGCATAAAAAAACAATGCTCTGTTCCAAATTGGCAAAATACCTGTGTGAGCTGCAATGATAAACAGGCCTCCATGCATGCTATTTTCTCTTTATGGCTCCTATTTAGATCCTTTAAGGTCCAAAGTAGTTGTTAATTCTGTAGATGTTTTTTGAGCATCTACTATGTGCCCTCTATCTTTGTACTAGATACTGGAAATACAGAGATGAGGGTGGTCTACAGAGGGACTTAGATAAATCAGTGATTATAAGATAGCCCCCAACCTCCTGCAGCTTTTCCAAGTCTCATCTTAAGCATGACTGACCATCTTCACCGGCCACACTTTATGCACACCAACTATAGCCTAGTACCACAGTTATTTGTTCCTAGGTCTCCACCCTTCCCTTCCTGAGCACAAGGACTCTGAGTCACTTTTGGCTGCCTGGTACTTAGCATGAGGCCTGGAGTATAGCAGGTGCTCAATCTGTGTTTGTCAAATTGAATCAGGGAAATGAACATATTTCAGGAGCAATCATAAGTCTTTTTGATGTTGAAAGATTGAAACCAGGGTCATTTTTCATCAAAGAAGAGAAGAAAAACATATTTCTTTCTATATTGCATTGGAAAAATCATAAATATGGAGCTGTTATGCTGAAAGAAGTCATTTTCTTCTTTTTAAATATCCTATAAATAAAGATATACCTGACTTTTTAACTACCACTGAATTTTACTATTAAAATTTAATTACAAATACATTTTAGAATCACAAAAAAACCCACAATTTATTATCTACTTCTTAAATTTGGTGGTGGACACAGGAATGCCTGTTAATTGTTATTATTATTTATATCACATATACATAGACACTCCTTTTATATACATGAAAAAAGTATAATAAATCTTAAAAATTAAATTAAAAGTTTTTAGTGATAAAAAGCAAATAAATAAAAGTTCTGCTCTGTTTTGCCCTGGGAAGAGATAAAAATTTAATCATTCTATGTATCCTGGGAATAATAAGCTATGAATCTGTGTAACTATTATTTTATTTTATTAGGTTTTTAAAAGATGCTGTCAACTTTTAAAGCTGCAGAATTTAAATACTCTTTCTTAAAGAGAAAAATGTGTTCCTCCAAGAATTTATGATTGAAATTCCTCTCCACACTAATAAACTTTATAATAGAAAAAGCAGCATCAGAATCCACTGCCAATCTTGACACAAGTTTTTGACCAGAGCAATGGAAACCATCAGATGATTAAATAGAAATAAAATAAAATTCCTCTTCCCTAACACCATGTATATTCCTCAGACATGCACACACACACACACACACACACGAAATGTAAGAATGCCCTTCCTCATTATGATGCAATTTTTTCTTTGATTTGCCAAATACCACTGTGTCCAGTATTCTTTTGTATCTTATAGGCCAGGTACTAGTATCTCTGTATTATTTAATTTTACATATACAGCCAGACACACACACAATATATATATATACATATGTGTGTATATAAATATTATATATATATATACATAACCATACATATATGCTGTGTGCATACATATATTCCCTTATATGACCCTATGATGTAAGGATATTGCTATCATCATTTTACAGATGAGGAAATTGAGGCCCAGAAAGATTGAGTAACTTGTCCCCAAGTCTGTCACACAGTTGGTCAATGAAGTAACCAGCAAGGCTAATAATGAAGAGAAACCATGTGGAAAAAGCACCTCAGAACCAAGGACCCCCTGTAAGAGTGGGACAACCTTGGCCCCTCCAGCCAATATTTCAGGATTATTCTTGAAATAATCTGCCTTCTCTCCCCTCACCCACCACATTCAATGTGGCTTTATTGGTGGAGTTATGAGTGTGTCCCTCAAGGGTCCATGTAATGGAAGACTGGTTCTCAATATGGCTGTGTTGAGGCTGTGGGATATTTAAGAGAGAGGGCCTAATGGGAAGTAGTTAGGTCACAGGGCTCCACCTTCAGAAAATACTGGCTGGTCTGCAGAGGGACTTTACACCTTGTTGGAGCAGGTTGTTACAAAGTAACGTCATACCATATGTATGGCCCCTTCTGCATGTGGCCACCTCCCCTTCCTCTTTACCATGTTGAATGATTTTATGCAGCAAAAGGGGTCCTCACCAGAGGCTGAAAAGATGGGGCTACCAATCTTAGACTTTCAGTCTCTAAAACTATGAGTCAAATAAACCTCTTTTCTTTATACAGTACCTAGAATTAGGTACTCTGTTAAAGCAACACAAAACAGACTAATAGAGGGGATTTTCTTTGGTTTTCCTTTTTCACTTCTTTTACTCATAATAATATTTTCATGATTTAATAATTGCTTATATGATGGCAACTGCTTCATCCATATCTCCTGTCCAAAGTGCCCTCCTGAATTCCAGATCCATATATCTACCCATCTATTGGACATCTCCATTAAAGTCCCATAGATACCTCAAACTCAGTGCAAAGCTGAACTCATCATCTTCTTGGAAAAACTGTTCTTTCTTATGTATTCTCTGGAATAATGTCACTATCACAAATAATGTCACTATCATAAACCCTTTGACCAAAGCAAACAATCAGAAATGCATCATGATTCTACTCTCCATGAATGAAGAGACTAACTCATCTCCCCAGTATCCGCCCTTCTTTCAACATAATACCATTTTTAGCTGGGTATATACCCATCAAGATTTCATACCTCCAAACTCTTTGTAGAGCAAAGAATGACCATATGACAGAATCCCAGTCAAGGAGATGTAAGTAGAAGTATTAAAGGTCAGTTTCCTGGAACTTGCCTTTAGGGATAACTTGCATATGCTCTTGGGGCCCTTCCTCCATCTGTTGACTAGAATATGGATGTCATTCTACATGATTGAACCATGTGAATGGAGGCCATGGAAAAGGAGGCGGTGTTGAGTCGAGCTATGGTAGAGAAACTCAGGTTCCAGACATCATGGATCACCTTGCCATTATTGATTTACCACTGAGGCTTTTATACAAAGAAACAAACTTCTTTCTTATTCAAACCACTGTCATTTGTGTTTTCCATACATGCAGAAAACTATCCTCACACCCCCCTGTCACCTGTCTTTCCAGTGTTATACTCTAAGAAGAGTTAAAGTAGTAAAATCAACACAAAACAAGCAATCGCTTTTCTCTGAAGATTCTGTCTCAAGATATAAGGTTAAAAACAAAAAGAAAAGAAGCAAAGGATCAAGAAACCTACATGGGGATTCACTAGATATAAAAATTATATTTCTCATTTTAAATCAATGCACTTGGTATTCTGGAGTGTCCTTCTCTCAAGGCTTTGATTTGTGTCTTCGTGCTCCAGGACAGGAATATATCTGAAAATTCAAGTGTTTTAAATCTTAAAAGGAAAAAACTAATTCATTGTCAACTTGATGAGGCCCTGTCTGGTGGATTAGCTGTTCTATTTGACATTTCATTTCATCTTTTACTCTCAGCGTCATTACCTCTCACAATGTGGCAGATTCCATTTCTTTTTTTTTTTTAATTTATTTTTTTATTGGTTGTTCAAAACATTATAAAGCTATTGACATATCATATTTCATACAATAGATTCAAGTTGGTTATGAACTCCCAATTTTACCCCAAATACAGATTGCAGAATCACATCGGTTACACATCCACATTTTTACATAATGCCCTATTAGTAACTGTTGTATTCTGCTACCTTTACTATCCTCTACTATCCCCCCTCCCTCCCCTCCCATCTTCTCTCACTACCCCATCCCCTGTAATTCATTTCTCTCCTTGTTTATTTTCCCATTCCCCTCACAACCTCTTATATGTAATTTTGTATAACAATGAGGGTCTCCCTCCATTACCATGCAATTTCCCTTTCTCTCCCTTTCCATCCCACCTCATGTATCTGTTTAATGTTAATCTTTTCTTCCTGCGCTTCCTCCCTGCTCTGTTCTTAGTTGCTCTCATTATATCCAAGAAGACATTTGGTATTTGTTTTTTAGGGATTGGCTAGCTTCACTAAGCATGATCTGCTCTCAGATTCCATTTCTTAAACATGGCTACAACAGTATCTCCCTTTCCATATGGTACTCTTATGATGAAACTCTGATATTCCTCCCACTTAGAGGTAAGTTTGTTTCTTCTAGTTGAATGCCATCAGACTTGTGACAAGAGCAAAGTGACACCATGACTTAAAAGGCTAAATCATATAAAGCAATTCAGGTTCTTCCTGTTGCTCTTCGATTCTCACTCTGAGACGCAGCCACCATAAAGGGAGAAAACCCAAGTAGCCCATGGACAGGAACCAAGGTCCCAAGCCCAAAGCACCAACCTACCTCCTGTGGATCATCTACAAGGAGATCCACAGGAGATGAGCACTGACATTGCGTGAAGGAAAAATGATCTGTCCCCACTCGCCCTGTGCAAATTGTAGATTTGTAAGCAAATAGATGGCTGCTGTTGTTTTAAGCTAGTATGTTTGTGGTGGTTTCTGTGCAGCAGTAGATAATCAAAATACTGTGACAGTCAGCTATTCATCACTGTGACAAATACCTGAGAAAACCAACTTAGAGGAGAAAAGTTTCATTCTGACATACAGTTTCAAAGGTTTCTGTCCAAGAACTATTGGCTTCATTGCTCTGGGTGTGGAGTGAGGCAGAATATCACGGTGGAAGAGTGTGGTGGAGGAAAGCATCTTAGCTCATGGCAGCCAGAAAGTAGGGAGAGAGAAACGGGACAGGGATAAAATTGTAGCCCCAAGTGACCTACTTCCTCTAACCATGCCCCACCTGCCTATAGTTTTTTTTTTTTTTTTTTCCTTCTTCTTCTTCTTAGTACTGGGGATTGAACCCAAGGGCACTTAATCGTTGAGTCACATCCCCAGCCTGTTTTTATTTTTTTTTTTATTTTGAAACAAGGTCTTGCCAAGTTGCTCAGGACCTTGCAAAGTCCCTGAGGCTCGCTTTGAACTTGCAATCCTCCTGCCTCAGCCTCCCAAGCCACTGGGGCTAAAAACATAGCCACTGCACCTGGGCATCCTGCCTATACGTAGGTACATTTAAATGATTAATCCAACAAAAAGATTCATTCACTGATGAGGTTGGAGCCCTTATGATCCAATCATTTCCTGGAAGCCTCGCCTCTGGACACTGCTGCATGGCCTTCAACATCTGAGATTTTGGTGGATATTCCAGATCCAAACCATAACAAACACATATTAAATTGTTGTATTGCATTATGGGTTTTTCCCCCCAAGCATGAAACAAAAAGAAGCATTTTACTTAATAAAACTGAAATCCTATTAAGATTATGTTACCTTCACATGGCCATGTTTGGTGAGCTGTAGGTAATCTCTGGAACCAGGTGCTGAAGTGATATACCCCAGAAATACCACTTGATTAGAGCAATTTTTCAGTAGTTTTGAAACAGCAATAGCCTGCAGTTTCCTGTCAAGGTCATCTCTAGAAAAACAAAACACAAAACAAAAAACTAAAAATGTGCCTCCTACTGAACTTGCAAAACAATTCTTAAAAACTATTAGATAACTGAATTCCCAAGAGTATCTTCAAACAGTGTACAAAACCCAGAGCAATTCCTGTCTGGGTAAATACCTTAAGTTATGCAAATGAACAAGGCCCAGATACAGTGCTTCAACTGAGTAGGCTGACAAACTTTTGACTAAGAACAATATGATTTTTCTCCACAAATCATCAGGAGTCAAGTTGATTTAAATATCTATTCTAAATACAGCATTTGTTCAACTTTTCATCAGAAGAAATAATAGCAGTAACATGAAGTCTGGTCATCAGTATTACAACAAAAGAGTGAAATTAAAAGAGACAGGAATACTGGTAAGAAGGAGAACTCAAACATTCAAGGAGCAGAGCACACCAAGCTTATTATCCTATCACACAAGTCCCTCAACTAAACACCTTCTGAAAGCCACTTCAGCTCTTCTGCTTAAATATTGTCTGGACATGTTGCTTTTATTTTGCTAATCATAGAAGACATAAAACAGATAATTAGATACAGGTGTATCAAACTTTTGGAGGGTTTGGAGGTGGGGAAACAGTACATCATATTTTACATGATCCAGCCAGAAAAACTGAAACACTCCAGATGTTTCAAACAAAATGAATTTGAGTTAGGGAATTCATTACCTAAGCTATGGGAAGCCAAACAGGGGTCAGTGAGCAACCAGAGGTTAGCAACAGAGAGAAACTAGTACCATCCCTATAGCTAGTGAGGCAACCAGAGATTACCAACAGAGAGAAACTAGTACCATCCCTATAGCTAGAAGAGGGGCAGGAGGTGATAGCTCAGAGTCTAGAAGCCAGGACTGGCTGGCAGGAGATAGACTATGGAAGCAGCTGCCAGGTGGAGCTGGGACTATCTGGGAAGGAGCTGGGGCCAGAGAAGAAATTTAGCTGATACCAAGGATAACAGAAGCAAAGGAGATGAGAAATACCCTGGGTTCTTTACTTCTCTTGCCCTCCAACCTTGCACTAATGCCAGGGACTAAACCCACCAGAAACCAGAAAGCAAGGGACTTTGGGAAATGTGTTCCTTACAGTTGAAAAGAACAAGGAATGGATCCAAAAGCAAATGAAGACTAACTCGGGCATTTGCATAGAGAGATAGCTAATAAATGAGCGTTAAGAAGAAAACGACAAAGGAAGATAAGGGGGAGCTCACTGAGGACCAAGAGGATTGGAGAAACCTCATTGAAGTAGGATCTGAAGACAGGACTAAGTGTACACAGGTCACAGGCCAAGTATTCTCCATCTCCCGTGCCCAGACCCAGTCTCTGGCCTTCTCAATGTCCTGGGTGATTCTGACTCTTTCAGGTTTCATCTCCTGGGCTTCCTTATCTGATTTCCAGTGAGGCTTGTCCAACCAGAGACACTAGCAGATAAAATGTTAGGAGAAGGGTGAAGTTGGGTCAGTCAGAGGGCCAGTCCCACTGGCAGTAGCTCATTCTTCATGTCTAGTGGTCCTCTTCCTGGTTCTAGATCTCGCAGGACTCTCAGAACACGATGTCCTCTGCCTGCCTCTTCAGCTGTAAGGCTGGCAATGATTTCCCACTGTGACTAGCATCTGAGAGCCTCAGCACCTCCTGTGTTCCCATGGACCTTTCCAACCTTAGTTAAAGCCTCATCAGGACTGTAGGGAATTCTGTTCCTTCTGATACATACGGGTAGAATTCAAATCCAGGTTTAGAAAATTCCAAAGCCACAGCCCATTCAAATATAGTTTAGCACTATATTGCTGGAAAATAATTTGTGAATTTGGTTCTACATTTTCTCAAGAGAAAAATCTCATCTATTGATAACAGTAAAAATAAAAAATATACTATGTGCATGAAGAAAGGAGGAAGGAGTGAGAGGGAAAGAGAGTGAGAGAACATACATGTTATATGTTTACTTATGTGTTAATCTTTGATCAGCCCAATAGCAATATAATGTGAGCTGAAAAAGAGGATTTTATCTGATTTTCGGAAACGATCAATTGGAACTCACCAAGGATCCCCTGCAACAGAACCAAAACTAGTGTATAAATCTCCAGACAGCTGGTTCTGTTTTCTCTCTGTATATGATGCAGGTTATAGATTTATAAAAAGGCAATGGTGACTAGCCAGTAGCTTGGTTAATCAGCTAAAGTAATATCAACTTTCATTATGGTATTTACCTAAATGACTTCTAAGAAAAGCTGCTATTTCCTATTTATTGGTTGTAAAAGAGATATTCGCATGCTCGGCACATTAAACATTCTTGTTGAATCAGCTAATAACATGCACAAGCATTCTCTAATTCACTCCTAATAGGATTTTCACATTTGTATGCCACAATCACTGGAAAAGGAAATCTCTAAATATTTATCCAGAGTAAGAATTTTTCTATAAAGTATTGTAGAAAACAACGAAGGCAAACACAAATACATTATGATGGCTTCACAAATTTTTCTAGGTGCAAACTTCCTCTGTCACTTGTTGGGAGGCCACAGTGTTCATGGACAGAAATTCTAAGGAGTGACAAGAGTGGTGGCTCTTAAGGACAAAGATTGTGTCTGACCCTACGCTTGGTACATGACAGAGCTTGACTTGTGTTTGACAAATAATTTCTTTTTAAAGAAATAATTTCTCTTTTACACTTGGAGTTGCCTGATTTGGTTTAATAATAGCCAGCATTAATTAAGCACTTACTAGATTCATGTACTTTACCTGAAATAGCTCACTTTTTTCTTATAAGAACTCTGTGAAATAAATACCATGATTGCCCCTAACTTACAAATGAGGAAACCAAGTCTCCACATAGTCAAAGAACTGTAAAAGATACACAGCTAGTGATGGAATTAGGATTTAAACCAGACTCTCTGATTCCAAGCTCTGGAATCCATCCTCCTGAGCACTAAACTACACTGCTTCACTCCCTGGAGTTACATCTCCTCAAAAGGAAATAGCCATTATTATTGTGTCATTTTTTGTCATTATTAAATCAGATGCAAAAGATAGCAAGTGAAGGGATGGTGTAATCAGAAAGCATCAAGTAGGTGGTTAACAGAAAGTTAGCAAAGGCAATCCTATCTGTCCCTTTGCCATGCACATTCCAAGGCCTGCTTTTTTTTTTAAGTTTATTCTTTCAATTTTGGGAGACATTGGGGGGAGTTAAAGGAGGCGGGGAATGGAGAACAAAGGAATAAAAGAGCAGACTCAACTGTTTTGGGGGTTGAGATCTTGCAAACTTTAAACACAAAAGTACCCAACTGGAGTAAAATGTAAGGTCAGCGATAGGATTTCTGGATGTCTATACTTGCTACATGAACATTACTTGAGGCATTTCTTCAGTTTTTTTTTAAAGAAATGTGGAGCATCTACAGTATCTGTCTTCCAAATGCCTTCTCGGTTCTACAGAGGCAAACTAGAGTCGGATAGTGAATGGTGTATATTAATCATATTTGGATGTTCTGTGTAAATATCTAATGCTCTGACTTATTTTGGAAAATATTCAAATATGCTTTTACAGATCCACACATATTAGTGTAAGAAAAATCAAGGTAGTGCAAAAAATAATAGTGACCATTTGCAGGCATATTGGTTTTGTTGAGGTGAAACTTAATAGTAGAACGATGTTGTTTTCTTGATATTCTGTGTGTTACCTTGAAGTTCTATAGCTACTTGTATTATTAACTCAGTCAGGTCTTGATAAAAGCACATAGCACTGTACATTTGTGTTTTAAGTGATTATGTTTAGAATAGCAGAGTATAAACTCTACACTTTTATCTTTGCTTTTACAATATATTGTTGGCATTATTAGCTATTTATTCAGTATTAAGTCACTGGTTGTGAATGTTCTTTGGGGAAAAAAAAACTTCTTTTCCATTCATGCTTCTTTGTAGAGGGACTGACTTATAAAACCACCACTGGCCTGTCTCCCCATCCTTTACTTTCAGGGAAGAATTTTCTAGCTAAGTGTGAAAAAATTAACTGGCCATTTCTGTCTTGAGCCCTTCCTCTCTAGAATCCACTGGTTTGTAGACAGGGAATTTTCTAACTGGTCCCTTTCACCAAAGGAAGAGCTTAACAAGGCAGGTCTTGCACCTGTTAGGAGGCCTAGTGTTTGTGGGGAGTCTGTTTCCTATACTGCGAGGGGACACATTAGCTAGGTCATATGGCCACGTAAGCCTTGTTGTCCAAATAGCCTTATCAGTATTAAAGTGGAATTTTCATTTCCATCTGCCAGATTCTTCTGCCTATATATTCTTCTGCCTTGTGAATACATGAATGAAAAAAGGTACATCATGTAGCACCCTCAAATCCCAACGGTACTCCTATTTCTATCAATAATCCTAAAGGAAAAGGGAATTAATTTTTCTGCAGTCTGGCTTACCCATGGTTCCAACCACCTGTGGGCTGAGTTTGAGTCAAACCACTTCTTAGCTGTGTGACCTTGGCCGGTCAAGTTAATCTAGTGTCTAATGTCCAGAGTCTATATCTATAAAATGGCGCTGTAATGGTACTTACCTCCTACAGAGTGAAGATTAAATATAATGATGCCCTTAGCATAACACCTGCAGAGAGAATGACTGCACATTTCAGTCATTGAGGGCTAACACAGCCCGTCACTACACCACCTCTAAGGACTGCCTGCATCCCCAATGCTTCTACGTCTCATTATTGCAACCAGCAATGCAGGGGAATTTCTTTGAGAGGTGAGAAAAGAAGGAAGCATAAAAGATTCTTTCATAGAAATCAAAGGAACACGCTGATAATATGTCTTGGCATTTGTATAATATTAAGTCAGAGAAACCTACTCATGGTTTCCAAAATGTGTCACAACAAAATCCACAAATTTGTCAGAGATGTTGACAGTCAGGGTTATGGCTGGTGCAATCTCGCCCTCTGGTGACGGAAGAAGGTGATGCTCCGATTTCACAATTGGGTATCTTGATAACACCATAATCCTGTATTGGAAGGAAAAAAGAGGGCCATCAACATCAGTCCCATCCTATCAGGTAGGCAGATGAAGAAAATGCATTAGAAAGAGATGTGTCACGCTACAGGCATCCCACCAAGGGGAAGTCGGAGCAATAATGTGACAGAATTCCATGGCAGTTTGCTGGTTAGTTCACCACATCTCACTATTTAGCCTGTCTTGCTGTATCCCTAAAAGCACAGTATAAGGTCTGTTTTAATCAGCACTACAGAGACACGAAAATGGAGGCTTTGATAATATATAAAATCCATCTTACCTGCATTGTTATCCTAACCACACATTTGCATAAAAATTCTAATATTAATCAATACATTCAGAATATATCTTACCAGCAAGGATACAAAGTAACAATTTTTAAAAACTAGACATTAAAAATGACTCCAGGGCTGGGGATATGGCTCAGTTGGTAGAGTGCTTGCCTCACATGTACGAGGCCCTGGGTTCAAATCACCAGTAACACACACACACACACACACACACACACACAAATTCTATAGCTAGGTGTGGTGGCACATGCCTGTATCCCAGAGGCTCAGGAGGCTGAGACAGAAGGAAGAAGAATTCAAAGCCAGCCTCAGCAAAAGCGAGGCACTAGGCAACTCAGTGAGGCCCCGTCTCTAAATAAAATACAAAGTAGAGCTGAGGATGTGGCTCAGTGGGCCAGTGCCCCTGAGATCAATCCCTGGTCCCCCCCACCAACCGCAAAAAAGATTCTATAAACATATATAAGGGGAGGGGATCTACCTCACTCAAAGTCAAAGAGCTACATATGAAAAGGAGGTGTAGAGCTCATGCCTCAACCAACTTCTTTTCTCTAGGTGCTTGTGCTACCTCTGTGACTCCCTTGTCAGGTCCCTCAGATCCATCTCTACAGTGGTGAACTCTAAGGTCCATCTCCAGCCAGGCCTGTCCTACTTGACCCTCCAAGGTATACACTGTATGTCACCTGACTGTCCTGGCGCATCTCCAGCTCGGCACATATGCACTCTTTCCCGGTGTTCCCCTGCCCTTAAAGGGCTTCATCTCCCATCGGGTAATCAGGTCAAAGCCTAGACATCACCCTGAGTCTTCCTGATTCTTCTCTTCCCCGACCTTGACCTCTCAGACAACGGCAGGTACTGTCAGCTCTATTCCAAAGCAGTTCCTGCCTCGGCCCCCTTCTCTCCATTGCCACCGTCACCTCCTGTCTGTGCTGCTGCTCCAACCTCATCTCCTGCCTCCCAGCTCCCACTCTCGCTCCTCCAAGAATGGCCAGAATGAACTATAAAAATGTATGTCAGACTAGATGACTGCTCTCCAGTGGCACCCTGTCCCAAGTGGATAAAAGGGGCTCTCTCTGGTCAACTGCCCTCCCTTGGCTTCATTTCTTAACAACTTCTCCTGGATCTCCTCCAATGCAGGCTCCCCAAGCTCCATCCTGCCTCCAGACTTTACCCTGCGGCTTCCTCAGCTCTTCCTGTGTCCTCATCATGGTATCTTCAGAGAGACCTTCCTGACCATATCACCTAGAGAACCACCATTCCCCATGGTCACCACCCTTTGGTCACTGTGACTCATAGCTTGCTTTCTTCATAGAACTTATGACAACCTCAAGTTATCTTATTTATTTCTTTGTATATATGTTTACAGCCATCCCTCAGTATCTGTGGAGAACTGGTTCCAGGATACCCCATGAGTACCAAAATCCATGGATGCTCAAGTCTCTCATAGAAAATGACCTAGTATTTGCATAGAAGCTACACACATCCTCCTGAACTCATCTCTAGGTTATTTTTAATATCTAACACAAAGCATATGCTTCACTTCATTCACATGGACTCAGTGCAGTGCTCGGTAGAAGGCAAATTCCAGTTTTGGCTTTTGGAACATTTTAGCACTTTTTTAAAAAAAATATTTTCAACCTGAGGTCAGTTTCCACAAAAGAAAAAAAAACCTGAAGATACAAAGTTCCAACTGTATTTTTATTTTTCCAAACTAGAACACATACTTCCTGAGACAAGCATCCATGTCAGACAGGCCTGGTATTAAACCTTAGCTCCTACCCCAAATGGTTTATAATGGTAAAGAACTGGAAGTACCCAGCAATGGGGAAACAACTTTAAAAATTAAGAAATAGGCATATCTTCAGCAACTCCCCACATCCCAAGTAGCATCACTGGGGCATGTTCACAGGACAAAGACATGATAATCCCAACTTTCCACTCCAAGCCTATGCTGGCTGGTCTTTCAGGACTGCGTTCTGTATTAATTCCCAAGGTATACTCACCCCCAGGTGTGATCCCTGGTGCTTGGACCAAAGTCTGTATAGAAACCCAGCTTGTCCCCTAGCCACATGGTTAAGTCATTGTTACCTATATAGGGTTTAGAAGCATCACTCTCCAAAATGGTTATGAAATCTGCACCTGTTTAGAAAAAAACAAAAGCACAGAGACGGGGGAAAAATAACTCATGACAATGAAAAAAGCAATTAGCAAAACTCTGTCCATGTCCTTAACCCTTTTGCCTTTACTCATAAAACTCAAAACAAAGTAATTCTTTGTGAGTCACCAAAGGGATGTGGTTCCAACCCAAGCTATGAAGGAAGTCTCCCATACTCAGAATGTAATTAAAATACGGAACACCTTGAGGAAATACTGGGAAGGGGTAAAAACATAACTTTTCTAAGTTCCAAATATTCTGAACATCTTTCCTCAAATTTCAAATAACCTTCATGTTTTTCTCAAATACCCAACTTAAGTTGTGAGACAATGAAAGGAGGCACAATAGCATTTTATTCCAGGGCAAACAGCTCCATAGTATTGACAGAGAGGTAAATTTATTGGCCTTTTTAAAACTTGGTCCAGATGTGTCTCAGGGACCTGTAATCAAGACTAAATAAGGACTCAGGATCAGACACAGTGAAATTTCTCAGGAAGATGCTTATCATTAAGAATAGCCAGTCTAGCCCTTCATTTACCTTACGACATGCTCCATGTGACTGATCTAACGACAAAATTCCCACCTATTTTAAAGGATGCTTCATACTAACATGAGCATCCTAAGGCACAGAAACAAATACAATTGGCCCTGGGGCTCTTGAAAGCAATTTTCTTCACAAACAAGCCTTATTTTTGACCCATTCTGCTTTTTAATTCAACAGTTTTATGGTCCCCAATAATGGGTCCCCAAGTGACAAGTTAGCTACCAGCAGGGGTATCTTTAACAACAAGGACATGGCAAGAATTCCCTGCAGATACCCACCTAATATGAGATGTTCAGAATCAACTGAATTAATTGCTATGAAAGACAGATGTGGTCACAGAAGCCTAGTCCTACAGCTGCCATCATAGCAAAAAGCCTTTTTAAGAGATTAGGGTAGAACGGGACAAACCCTCCTTCTACAATAGTAGTTTTTCACAACCTGGAACCAATCTGAGTAAGACTTACCTGTCTGGTTGAGCAATTGAGCTGATCTTTCTAGATTAGACCATCCTTCATTGTCATATCCAAACCTGAGAGGCCAGATGGCAGCAGAGAACTCTGTGGCTGGCACCTGAGGAATTGTTTTCACGGCAATTTAGCATGACAGAACAATGAAATCAGTTTTCTCTGCCTCTCTACAAAAACTCCTATTTCAGCAAAGGAATTTCCTCAGACTTTTGCTCACATTTAATTTATAAAAAAGGAGATATTTGCTCTATGGTATTCTCATAATCTTCTGTGAACTTCTAGCTTAAGCTTGAAGTTAGGAGGAATGTCTGGGAAATATTTATAATAAACACTCCTTAAAATTCCAAAAACATTAGAAACCATCTGGCTGTCCATCAATAGGAAATGGCATTTTAAAAATGATATTACATACTTAAAATGGGACACTACGTAGTCTTAATAAATGAATTTATTAAGGCTACATATTTCCATGTGGATGACGGTCATAAAAATAATTTTAAGTAAAAAAAGTAAGCTGCAAAATAAATGTTGGATGCCAGGTAGATAAAGTTAAAAACATGGAAAGTAACAATATTGCCTAGGAATCTATCGTATGTAGTAAAATAAAAAGAATAGCATGGAAGTGGTGCACTCCTGTAATCCCAGTGACCCAGGCCATTGAGGCAGGATGATCACAAGTCAAGGTCAGGCTGGACAATTTAATGAGAACTTGTCTCAAAATAAAATTAAATAAATAAATTAAAAGGGCAGAGAAGGTAGCTTAGTGGCAAAGTACCCCTGGGTTCAATCCTCAGTTCTAGAGAAAAAAATTCAGATAGATTTAGGAAAGGAGAAATTGTTAAGTAAATTCTCAGATTACTTCAAATAATAATAAAAAAAGCATGGAAATTATTTTAAAAAAAACAAAACACCACACTCCTAGTAGGGGAAAAGAATCACACACAGGGGTACCAAGAGGCCTTTGTCATCTTTATAAAGTGAATAGCCTATTCTAATCAAGTTGGAAATAGTATTACCATTCTCAACACTGGAAAGGCCAAGCTCTGGGACAGAATTCCTATTAGTGGCTCTTCTTTGAGATCCATGAGCTACTCAGAGAATGCACTGTCCAATCCTAGCCATCTATCTCAATTACCCCCTGATCTATATCTGGGCTCCTGTGAAAGAGAATGGTTTGTTTAGAACAAACTCATGAGCACAACTACCAAAACTCAACCAACCAAACAAACAAACAAAAAAACCACTTCAAACAGAGTCATCCAAGTTCAAGTTGGGAGAAGGAAATAGCAATGTCTTTGCATAGGAAAAAACACTGTTTCACTGAGCAAGTCAGAGTGCATGTTCTACCAGAGGAGAACTGAGTGTTTCATCTTTGCAGAAGGGTTACTAAGTTTAGTGGATGTCATAAAAAGAGAATGGAACAGAGAACTTCCACTCCAATGGAACATAGAATCAACAGTGATTTCCAGAGGCACAATTATATTCATGAAGCTATTCTTTTCTACCCAGCATACATCTGTACTTAATTCTGGACTTCATCACCCCAAAACCTGTTGTCCCTTCATTCTTTCCATCTCAGCAAGTGCTATTTGTCCCATCCAGATACTCAAGCCAAAAATATAGATGCCATCCCCGGTTCCTTTCTGTTCCTCATCCAGCAACATCCAATTCATTGGCCAATCCTATAAGCTCTACTTTCAAAACATATTCTAAGTCCTTCCTCTTCTCTCCAATTCCATGACCCCACACTTGTCAAAATCACCAGCATCTGTCACCTAGACCACTGAAAAAGCCTCTGGATTTGTCTTCCTGTCTCCACTCTCAGCCTCCTATCATCCATTCTTCCCAGAGTAACCAGCTGACATACATCATTTTCTTCACTCCTACTGGAGACATTCCACTGTGGCTTCTCTTCTAAGTAAAATGAACTCAGAACTTTTCACTGGTGAATCTGAGGCCTTATGTGATTTGCCCTCCCCAGCCTCTCCAACTTCATTTTCTATCACTCCACCAAAGCCTTGCCCTGACGCTCCCCAGAGACACCAGGATGGTTCTCCCTCAGTCCTTTATTCATGTTTTCTATGTCTAAATATCAACTCTCTGAAAAACTTTCCTTTACTCAACTTTCAAGTTTCATTTTAATGTCACCTCCTCAGAACAGCCTTCTCTAACCATCCAAACTGTAACCCGGAACTCCATAATCCTATATTCTTCAGAGCAGCCTAATCTAAAATGATTGCTTTTCTTTATTTTTTCCTCTGAATACTATCTTCTATATTCAGTGCAAACTCTGGGAAGGCAGGGATCTCGTCCAGTCTCTTTACCTCTGAATCCCTGGCCAGGGACATCAAAAGACATTCACTAAACATTTGCAAATGAATAAATGAATGAACAGGTATTAAATTAAACAGGTATTAAATTCAATTCAAACAACTCTTTTCAAAAAGAATTCATGCACTAAGTAATAAAAAAATTTTTTAAAAAGAATTTCTGGTTGACATCTGATAGACATACGGTGCCATAATAAAAACTAACAACTACAGAGCCAAAAGAAAGAGATCAAGTAATGATGACCTACTATTATTTACTTGGTAAGAAAGAGTGACTGAGCAAGGCTCTGGGTTAGATCCCCAGCACTACCAAGGGTGTGGGGAAGAAGAGGAGGATGAGAAGGAGAAGAAGAAGAAAAATAAATAATTACTGAGTTCTGAATACACTCCAAGCACTCAGGTGGTGCTGACAGTACAGAAATGAACAAAGAAACATGGTCTCCACCCTCAGTATAGCTTTGTATTTAATATAGAAATTTCCCTGGTTGAACAGATTGCTGAAATGCAAAGTTAATTATACAATTCTATATTAGCCAAAACTGTAACTCTGACTGCATTATGAAATACAATGAACTTTTATGGAGCAGGTAGCAAGCACAACATTGCAATGGATTACTCTTGATTCTACTCACTTTTATAGAAGAAAAGGAGACATCAAAACATTTAGAACTACACACATAGAGAGAGAAGAAAACTCCCATCCCCCATCAATACACAAGCTACTACTCATCATCTGCAAAATCGAGAACTGTCTGTAAGATTTTTTTTAAATCAAAGAATCTCACAATGCTCTCTTCAGAACTATCTACTAGTTATAAAATAATTTCTTATTTCATAGTAGGTAAATAATTAATGGTAAAAATAACACCACACCAAAAAATCATGAATATATCCCTCTGATATATTAGTTTATCCTACCTCAATAACACAGCTTCATAAAATAAGCCTATAAAACCATCAGTCTGTGATCCAGGGGTTAAGGAAATGGGATCCAGGATTCTAAAGCTAGCAGATCCAAGTATAGCATCCAACCAAAATAGTCTAAAAATATATGTATATACACATATCATGTAAAATTCTATTTTAAAATGTTTAATTACTTACCCCTTTGCCCAATTTCCTCTCATAGGCTTTATGTCGTAGTCCTAATCCCAACAACCCCAAGCCAACAAGCAGCCACAAAACTAAACAGAAAGAAATAATTATCCAAAAGAAACTAAATTTGACTTCTTAAAAGTATTTTTTTCCCAAAATTCCTGACTCTATTGGCCAAGGAGTTTGTATGAATGTCTCCTTTTTGGTTTCATTTTTATGTGTGACATGCATACATAACCCACACTTTACATTCAGGTTTCAAAGAATATTCCCTAAACATGTTAGAAGGACCAAGAGCCTAAAGTAACCGTAAATCATAAAATCTACACAAAAACAAGTCTACACAAGCAGGAACCAGCAGGAAAAAAACAGTGCAGAATCAACCCCACAAAGACTTCTGATACTGGAACATTCAGAATCAGAATATGGAACAAGTATGCTCAACATGATTAGAAAATAAAAGAGGGCATTCCAAAGTATGACTAAAGAACATGAGACTAAAATAAGCAAGGAGAAAAAATTACAAAAAGAAAATCAAATAGACTTCTAGAAATAAAAATACATCATTATAATAACTAAAATCAGAAATTATGGACAAGATAAAGAGCATTTTAGACAAAGTTGAATAGAGAATTAGTGTAAACAGCAGCACAAAAACAGAGGTAGAAAAAAGCAAAGTGGTTACAAGACCTGGAGAACAGAAGAAGGTCAAACACGTAACCAACTGGAGTTGAAAAGGAATGAGGAGAAAGAATGGGGAAGAGTCAATATTTGCAGAAATAATGCTGAAACTTTTCCAGAATTGATAAGAGACATGACTCTTTAGATTCATAAAGCCCAAAGACTTCCAAGCTAGATGGGGAAAAAATCCACATCCAGATATATTATAGTGAAATTGTGGAATACCAACACAGAGAAAAAGATTAAGGGCTGCCAGACACCAAAGACTGATTATTTCCAAAGGCGCAATAGTTACAGCAACAGATTGCCTATCAATAGCAAAAGTCAAACCACAAAGCAGTAATATTTTCAATGTGGTGAGATAAAAATAATGAACCACTTAAAAATAGAAATTGAAGATATAAATTCTAAACTAGAAAGAGGTGTGGTGGTGCTCGCCTGTAATCCCAGCAGCTCAGGAGGCTGATGCAGGAGGATCTCAAGCTCAAGGCCAGCCTTGGCAACTTCATAAGGTCCTAAGCAACTTAGAAAGACCGTTTCTCAAAATAAAAAATTAAAAGGGCTGGGGGGGGGGGTTCAGTGGTTAAGTGCCCCTGTGTTTAATCTTTGAAGAAGAAGGAGGAGGTGAGGGGAGGAGAAGGAGAGGAGAAGGAGAAGGAGAAGGAGGAAGAAGAAAGGGAGGAATGGAGGGGGGAAAAAGAAAGTGGGGGAGGAGGGAGGGTGGAAGTGAAAGGAGAGGTGTGAACAAAAAACAAAAACCTAATTGATACAAAAGACATCAAGAAGGAAAAAAAGTACCTGTGAAAGTGGAAAGTGAAACGACAAAGATGATAGAAAGAAATTATAACACTAGAAAAATAGATTAAATTCAAATCAAAAGACAAAGTTTGGCTTTCTGGAAAAGGAAAAAAAATAAAGGGAAACAATTAAAAGTTCAGAGGTTGCCAGGAGTATTTTGTTTTTTTGGTGGGGTGGGGGCAGAGGGGTTAACAGGTAGAGCACAGGGGGTACTTGGGGCAGCAGAACTCTTGTGAATGATGTTCTAATAGCAAATGCATGTTATACGTTTTCAAGGCCTACAAAATGCACAGCACCAGGAGTAAACCCTAATGTAACCTATAGACTTCGAGTGATTGGGGATTTGTTGACATAGCATTAAATATGACAAATCTATCACTCTGGTTAGTAATTTTGGTAGTGGGAATGGTTTACATGTGCAGAGGCAGAAGGTATATGAGAATTCTCTGAACCTTCCATTCAATTTGGCTATAAACATGCAACTGCTCTAAAAAAAACAAAGTCTATTTTGTAAAAACTCTGAAGTAAATTTTTTCAAATGCCTGAATTTAATGAGTGACTAAAATAAAATAATTATAGTGTTAGAGTCTGTAAACAAGTCAGGATGGCACCTGACATTTTGCCAGAGAAATGTTAGAGTTCATAAACAAGTCTGGATGGTGCCTGGCAAAATGCCAGAGGGAGTGGTTTGAGAAGTAACAAAAGCAAGCCATTAAGTGTGGAGATTCCTGATTGGTTGACTGATGTATCTAGTTTATGCTAATTAGATAAGCTGTGTGGAATGTATAAATACTGCTCCTGTCCTGCAATAAACGGCTTCCAGTCCTGCTGTATCAATCTACACAAGTTGTTCGTCACCCCCCGGTTATTTTGCTGCAGCCAGCCGGGCTGCGGCATTATAGTTCTTAACCAAAAAAATTACAAACAAAAACTGCCAGGTTCTGGTTTTAAGGGACACACCAAAACTTAACAGTATACACACACAAAAACTCATCTCCCCTAAATTTAAATATGATATTTTCAAATGATGATGAAATATACATGATGGTTTTTAAACAGTCTCACTGCTTTGTGAAATATATTTTAGAGATGTTTTGAAAATCTATGTAGCTTTTTGTTTTCTCTTTATATTGTAGTGTTTTTGTCTCTTTTAGTAAATTATCAAGTCCCTGAGGGTAGAGATCATTATTCCTACATGACATTCAATAAATATTTTTATTTAATCCAATCCATTTTAAATGAGGCAGATATTAGACAGTGAATTTCATATTTGAGTGTCTAGTTCATCAACATTCCAAATATTAACATATTTAATCTCTCCAAAAGGAGAACAAAAAAATGGAGAAAATAGACTCAACTATTACAACACAGCATTTTGAACATTGTACCTGTTAAACCATATTATATATGTTAGAGGTAAAATAAAGCTAGTAAATAGTATTTATAGTTGAAATGAGATATCAGGAACTTGCTTTAAATACTTTAAATTACTGAAAGAAAGTGGGAAATAGCTGTTAACATCATTAGTAAAATATTGCCAGTTGTTGAAGATAGGTGAAGGGTACATGAAGCTTCATTACATGCTCTAATTTCATGACTAAAAATTTGTATAATAAACATTTTTTAAAAGAATGTGAAATGATACTTACAAAGCATCATGTATTTTTCACTCTTTCTGAAAAGCATTTTAGGACTGTTTTTTGTTTGAAGAAGAAAGTCAAGGTTTTTCTTAGGACCAAATAACATATTTAGCCCAATAATGAACACCACAGTCCCTGTATAAAAGAGAAAGAATATATCAGAGGTTAATGTGAAAAATCCTTCCAATGGTAAATTCCAGGAAACAAAATTTCTTTTAAAAGAACATATTGTGGAAATTCAGTTATCGCATAAATTTATCTTAGTACCTAAGGGATTATTCTAGCAGTGTTCTCATGAATAGGGACAACCTTAATAAATCAGGTAGAGTTCTAGGAATCAAGCTCTATATGAGAGGACCCAGCCTCTTCCTGATGAGGGATGGCCTTGAATTTCCCATTTCCTAGTTGCTGGGTTGCTGATGATGCTTATTACTGACTATTGACTGGGCAGGAACAGAGACATCCAAGGGAAAGGACCTTCTGAGCAGCTATAGGGGCTCAACTGACTATTTGCATACACCAAGCTGAGAAGCACAGTGGAGCATATGCAAGTTCTTAATACAGCAGTGCTGCAGTGATAATTCTACCCTGGGATGTGGACGACTCCGGGCACAGGGTCCTGCCCAGGATGCATGCCAGAATTCACAGTAGGCCAATGACAGGCCAAAAAAGTTGAGCTACGTTGAGATGTACTACAAGTAGCTTACATAAAAGTGTGCGTGATTCTAAAATCATATATAGTATGAATGCACATAGAGATATGGCACAAAATGTAAATGTCAAGTAAGAAAATGTCAAGTAAGAGTTAAGCTTAGATGGAAGGCTCGCAAAAAAAAAAAAAAAAAAAAAAAGTTATGTTCAATGTTTGAGGAAACAGCAAGCAAAACCCAGAAAATAAATGTATACTAATTTTGGATATGATACAAATTCATTTCAGTTGTATTAAAAGTGAACTCTGAACATTATCTTTGTTCCTTGTTTTTTATGATCTCACCAATATAATGTAACTCTTATCAAAAAGACCTTAGTTGTATGAAGCTGTAATAAGAAGTGTTCTGTAATTCCATACGGGAAGAAGAAACCCAAAAGCTAATCAGTCACAATGTTCTAAAGAGACAAATTTAGGCACAGAATGGCTCTTACTTTCTCATTCTTTCCACCTGGCAGACCCCTAAGCAAGTTGGCGTAAGAGAAAAGCAGGGCATTGGGCAGGAAAACAGAGCAGGACAGAGTACACCCACCTGGAAGAAACCAGAGAAATACAAAGTTCACAAAGCCAAGGTTACCACAGGGTAAATGCAGCAATGTATATCTCTAACAGGAGGGGAGCTGGGGCATTAACCAGAAATATCAAATTCTCAAAGGCTGTTTCTAAAATACAGCATGTTGCTTAATAACAAATCTTCCACAGTAGCCTGTCCTGACAGACGTCTAGTTTGTCGGGTAGGAGAGCTTCTGTGAAGAGGTACAGAGGAACTGGATGTAAATCCAGGGCACAAAGGAGGACAGCGACAGAACATGGCAGAAGCTACCCCTCCCGTGCAACACTCGTCCCACAGAATATTCACAACTATTTGTCTCATTCATCTGCAGTGTCTCCCCACTGGACTAAAGTCCCAGGTAGGCAGGGACACAGGTGTTTTCATTTCCAGCACCTGGCATTGTATCAGGAATATGGCTGGTGCATGAATTAACTCATTTTTGTTGTTGTTGTTTAATGAACAAGGGAACAAGTGGAAAAATGAATGTGCAAATAAATAAGGACTGGATCCCCATCCCCTCATTTTCTAATATTTTATTGTGGGAAAACTTGATATGTTTTACTTTAACTTTCAAATGATGAGCAACATTTAATTTGTGTATACCTGGTATACATCAGTAATTTTATTATTGCCAGAGACAACTTTTAAGATATTAAACTGAACAGCCGGGTGCAGTGGCACACGCCAATCCCAGCGGGCTGGGGAGGCTGCGGCAGGAGGATCTAGAGTTCAAAGCCAGCCTTAGCAATGGCTAAGCAACTGCTAAGCATCTGCTAAGCAACTCAGGGAGACCCTGTCTCTAAATAAAATACAAAATAGGGCTGGGGATGTGGCTCAGTGGTTGAGTGCCCCTGAGTTCAATTCCCAGTACCAAAAATAAATAAATAAACAAAAAATAATATATATATATATATATATATATTACACTGAACTAAGCTTGTGAGATTTTAATTTTGGCATGTGAGTTCATAACCACAAAAATGGGAAATGCATTTAATCCAGGATCTTGGAATTTACTATTTATACTAAGATCTAATAAGATATACTAAGTGTATATATATATATATACACTTACATATGTTTGTATTTATTAGTAGTAAAAATCTGGTAAATAACATTCAGGATAACTAAAAAAAAATCATAATCCCTAGGTATATCTATGAGCCTTCTATTGAAGCAACTTGAGCATCATAATCACACCTTTTCCTAATACTTTATTATGTATTAAATGTGTTTCCCAACCAATTCATTTAAGTGGCCTTCAGAATAATAAATGTTACTGAAATGTACTAATGACTTAAGAAATTTGCTTTTAATTTAAGATTTAGACATATTTCTAGGTTTTGTTTTTGCCAAGAGAATCGATTTTACTAAGACAGGAAGATCATCCTATTTGTTTTCACCAGTCCTGTTAAGTGCTAAATCCTGGCAAGTCCTCAGGGTATCTTCCAGCAGATCCTGTAATCCAAAACCTTTTAAATGCACTCACCCAAAAGCACGTCAGATCTTTCTCTAGTGTAAACACCTCCTGGGACAAACTTAAAGGCTGTGCACCATGCACAGAAAAATATGTCTAGAACATAAACCACCATGGCAACAGTCATGGTTTCTCCAGGGCTTGTCCCCGAGCTAACCAGGTGTTTAAGCACTTGAGGCCACATGGATCCAGTGAAGATGGCCAGCACACAGCCGGAAACAGCAGCTGCCCATGTGGGCAGGTAAAGGAGACCCACAGCTGAAGCTGTTCCTGTGTGAGAGAGAAAAGAGGAAAGTGTGAGTCAGATGGGAAGGCAAAGAAGTGCTAGGATAACCCGTTTATAGCCTTTTAGAGGCAGAAGAGACTTTAAGGGTGTCCTGCTTCAATCTCCAGACAGATGAGAAACAAGATCCAGCAAGGTTAATGCCATTTGTTCAAGGTCACACATCAGTTACCCATATGACTGGAGGTGGAATGGGTCTAGTAAGTTTCAGTCCAGTGCTATTTCTTCCAGAAAAGCAGGGGAGAAGAGGAGGAATAAATAATTGGTGTTATGATCCTACCATCAATAAAAACTAAAATTATCCACAATACCAAAAATATGTTCATTAAATTTAACCAACCAGATATAAGAAAGTCAAAAACATGTACAGTTGGGAGCCAGGATTGTGGCTCAGTGGTAGAGTACTTGCTAGCATGTGGGAGGCACTGGGTTTGATACCCGGTCCCAAATAAACAAACAAACAAACAAATAAATAAATAAATGGTATTTAAAAAAGAAAACACGTACAGTTGATTTGATTTCTAGAACATTTTTGTTGAGCCACCTTCTAAAGGAATTTCTACCTATCTAAATGCTGCCCTTTGTCCTATAATATGTACACGGGCTTTTCCAACTACACAGCATCAAAAGAAGATGTGACTTAGTGATGTAGCAACTTTGCAGTCTGTTCATTTATTATCCAACTATCATGGCAATACAATGGTTCATGGCTTTCCCCAGGTTTGTCTCTGAGTTAAAAGGTGTTAGAGGTTGGGCATCCTGCTTGGTTCACAACAAGCACTTAGCAAATATTAGTCCGTTGAGCCAATAGTGAGGTCATATAACATCTCACCCAAATCCTGTAAAATCAGAAACAGCATTTTAGGTCTACCTCACTGTGGAACCATTGACACAAGACCTTCTCATAGACGATACAGCATTTTTGATACAATTCAATCACTGTTGTATACCTAGGACCCATCTTTCGATGCATCTACAACAGGCTCTTCACTGCTCAGGGTAGTAACTCCAGGAACAGGAGAGCAGAAAGTGGCTCCAGATAGCTTTTTTAAAAAAATAAACAAAAAAACAAAAAAAAAGAACTACAAAAAAAACCAACTTTTTTTGTTATTTATTTTAAAAATTTTTTGATTAGACACAATATCTTTATTTTATTAGTTTATCTTTATGTGGTGCTGAGGATTGAACCCAGTGCCTCATGCATGCTAGGCAAGCACTCTACCACTGAGCCACAACCTCAACCCCTCCAGATAGCTTCTTAATGTCCCATGGCTCGGCACCATCACAGGACAATACTGTGTGGCTGTCAGTTCATCCTCACTTTAAAAAGGAACCTCACTCAGATGTCCATGAGAGCCAGATTCCAGGGTCCTCGACAATTCATGGAGCTTAACTCCATGGTGAGACCATCAAATACTTCAAATATACTCCACAATGGTGATTTTTCATTTTGAAATAAAACAACTGTAATGCCTAGTTGCTAAAGACATTTGTAAAATTCAGAACTACAAAGAAGCAGTTTAGGGTTACCTAAGACTCAGATAACCACAGCCAATACTTCCATGTATTTTTCCTCAGTGTTTTCCTATGGGTCTAGAGAAGTAAATAAATGGAATTGTACCTGCCCTTTCCCCTACTTCCTCTCCCAAGAAGTTCACGTTTATGATTATGTATTTATTTTGCAGGTTCTTTAAAAGTGACTTTGGTCCCCATGGGTCCAAGGATGATGCATGACCGTAAGGAGGAAGAGATGAAATTGGTAGAGGCAACAATTTTACATAAATGGAAGTGTACATGACATTAAGGATTAAATGCTGCTTTTTACGATTTTCTCATGTTATTAATTTTTCTAAAACACTTTTATGTGTATGCAATACTCCACTGGATAAATATACCACCAAACATGTAAACATTTTCCTATCAGCCATTTGTAAACTTTCCAGTGTCAAGGATTTAAAAACAACATTGTGATGACTATCTTTCTCTGACAACAAATCTCTTACCACATCTCTGATTATGTCCATAAAACAAATTCCTAGCAGTACAACCTGCATCAAAGGGCAGAAGCATTTTAAAGCTGTTGTCATGAACAATTGCTGCCCTGAAGGTTGTACCAGGCTTTACTGCCTCCAGAAAACTTGCTGAAATATCCACTCTTTTGAAACTCTGCCAAAATTATTTCTTTCTAAAATGTATGATGAAAATAGTAGGATGTTTTATATTGCTCCTGCCCAATTATTAGTGAAATCGAATTTTTCCTGTTTACTAGTTTTCAATGTATATTATTTGTTTGTTTGTTTGTTTGTTTGGTATCAGGGATTGAACCCAGGGGTACTTAACCACTGAGCCACATCCCCAACCCTTTCTATATTTTATTTTGACACAGAGTCTTGCTAAGTTGCTCAGGGCCTTGCTAAGTTGCTGATGCTGGCATTGAGTTTGAGATCCTCCTGCCTCAGTCTCCCAAGTCACTGGGATTATAGGCATGTGCCACCGCATCTGGTTTCAATGTTTATTTTTTTTTTTTTTTAAAAAAAGGGGTGCTAACTTGATATTCGGGTCTAAAGATGTTAGAATGTCTTGGTCATCTGTCTTACTGCAAAGAATTATTAAATTTTTCTTGACTGTTATTGCTTTTATTTTTAATTTAGTTTCTATCTTAAAATAGGTTTTTTAGTTTTAATCAACTAAAATTGTATTTTTAAGTTCAAGAAGAAATGATACAAAATAAATGGGACATCTGACCCATCACCCACTACTTTTTGTTAGAGAAGGCAAACAATGTTAGCATTTACTTCTACACCTTTCCAGAGATGTTCAAGGCAGACAAAGAAGTACATAGGCATGTCTATTCCCCTTCCTTTTTGCACACTAGTGGTAATACACAACACACACCATTAGTCATTTTGCCTTTTGCACTTTGTATGTATATCCTAACTTGTTTGAGACTAAGCCCTTCCAAATAATCCTTCCCAAATCTTTACATCCAAGACATCAAGCAGAATTAGCAGTAATAGATACTCTAATAATGTGTTGAGAACTGACATGTTAATTTTCAACAGACTGAGTTTTTCATACAAGAGAGTTACATGCACATTGTGGAGTGCACCAGGGCCTTATCAGTGCACTTACTACATCTATGCATTTTTCCTAACATAACTATTAATTATTTTATTAATTTAATTGAAAGCTCCTGTATCTTTGCTTTTATTAAATTCTTTGGTCTCCACCATAATTAATGTCATGACAAGTCCTCAGCTGGATTGTAAACTTAAATATATGATGGGAAAATACGATTCATTTCACTATATTCTGTTTTATCATGTGGTTTTTAAAGATGAATCACAATGAAAATGGGCACCACCTTAGATAATTCAGTGTAATCTCCTACTTATTTCAGGTGAACAGGTAATCAGAAAGGGAGATGAAGCTCATGGATTACAGCCCTGGTTTCCTATACTTAAAATAGCCTGTGGCTAGAGGCCTTAAATCTGCTTGCCTTTGGAGTCTTTAAAACTACTATTTAATACTCCAGAGAGACAGCAAAACTAGATTAGGTTTGACTCTCAAAGATATGATCTTACTTATCTGGGGAAATAAGGATAAGACTATATTTTCACAGTTTTTCTATTCTATATGTTTTTGTGTCCCTTTGTTGTCCCAGGTTCAAAACAAAGCTGCTACCTATCAACCTGCCCAATAAACACTTTGCTTATATTTTATTTTTTTTTTTTTAAAGGCATGCTTTAAATGCTGAACAAACGTTTGAAGCGTTTCAATCTCCTTTTCCAAGTTGCATACAGATTAAGAATTTAGGGCTGGGGATATAGCTCAGCTTATAGAATGCTTGCCAACCGTGCACAAGTCCCTGGGTCCCTGGGTTCAATCCCCAGCACCACACACACACACAAAAAAAAAAAAAAAAAAAAAGAAAGAAAAAGATTAAGAAATTAAATATGTTCATTGCAAACAAGGTATTAACAAAGTTATCTGGCCCTCTTCCCCAGGAATCCCATGTAGCAGCTCTTTGAGGAGAAGGTTCCACCTACACACACACACCCACTTCCAGAGTCCAAATGGAATGTCTACCAGAAAACACACCAGCAAGTACAAACAGCTCCACATGACTGCAACTGTGCTCATTCAGCTCCAGGAGGAAGAGGACCTGGCCAGCCTCATTAAGTTAGCAGCCCATTTTGATTACACTTACATTTCCATGTAAGGCCGACGGTGGGTACTGTGACATGCAGAAATCACGGTATTTCTCATTCCACATTTTCTATTACTGATGCAGTCTCACAGTATCAAGAGCAATACCATGAATTGCCTGCTTAATTAATATGTAAAAGAACATCTCACAGAAAGCCAATATAGTATTCACTCTCTAAAAGAGTGGGAGATGTTTACTTAATGCCAATAATTTAAGTGAAGGAGGAGGAGTGGCATCATTGAATCAAAGGAAAATAATGCAATGCTCCCTCATGTTCACAAGGACTAAAAGGAGAGTGGGAGAGGGCCACCAACACTGATTATTGTCTTCTTTTACTGTGGCCAACTAAGTAGTTTGTGAAGTGTATTTGGTGGGATGGTATAGAAGATCAAACCCAGAGTGAACTTTTTTTATGTTTAAATTAAATTTATTAGTATTTATTAACTGTTTTAAATTGTATTTGTTCATATTTTTCATTTTTTGTGGCACGTACCAGTACAACAGCCTTCATTAATATTTCTGGAATCATAAAGGGTGTGACTGGGAAGAAATGGCCTGGGTCTTTGTAAAAGCATACATGACCCCAAAGATGGGTTGGAAGAATGTGGAACAAAACTGTCACATGGAAAAGAGAAAAGGAAATGGAACTTCACTATGGAATCTCAAAAAAATCTGGGGGGGGGGTTTCTAAAAAAACAAAGAAGCAAGCAAAATTAGAGGGCAAGGGATCTAGCACTTAGCAACTGGTGATATATATAATCCTTCATTGCCTCAAAAACTGTGCTAAGTGCATTTGGGTGTTGTATAGGTATTTTGAAGGGAGGTGTGTAGTTATGGCAATGCTGCTTGGGCAGGGATGGGACAGGTGAAGTGAAGTGGAGTAGGAAGAATCAGGAACCTAGAGCAGGTAGTCACTGGAGACCTTGGTAACACCTGGGTTATAGCTGTCTTGACTGGTTGTAACAAGCCATTTGGCAACAGTACATATCGCGTGGTGGCATCTTCCTTCCATCTTCTTGCACAGGCTTACAAATAAACTACATAACCAGGCTCAATGGTGGCATATCTGCAGGTGAATCCCACATACCTGTAACCCACCAGATGAAACCAGAATTAGGAAACCACGAACAAGCTGAGAGCGTCAGTCCACTTGCCAGGCTCAGCAGAACTGCACCTCTGTAAAAACAAAAAAAAAAAAAAAAAAAGGAAAGAAAATGCTAGAAGACATTTCATGCTACTAATATGTCATTGTTTCAATTACAAAACTGAAATATACTTGCTACCTCTAGGTACATCCGAGAGGTAATACAAGTCTGAAGCAACCAGTGGGCAAAGTATAAAAACTCTGACTTCAGAGAAATGGCACTGTGGTCTTTCATAGTCAAGGTAAACACAATAATGGAGTTTTCTCATAAATTAGAGTCCATACTGGTCATATGACATTTTAAATGACTCTGCCAAAGACCAAAAGAAAAAAGAATTTTGGGCAATAGTTCCTATGTCGTTTGCCATTTTTCTTTCTTTTCTTGACCTCAGTACTGCAGTTGGTGCATTCCTGATGCCAGTGTCAATTTGATCAATAACTGACAGTTACATGATTTTTAAAACAGCCACAAACTATTTCATTCTTTTTCCACTTTGGCAAAACATTGGAGGAGGGGGAAAAAAGAATTTAATTCAAATAGGGAGATATCCAGAAGCAAGAATAGCTATAATACAGCACTCGATTAAGTAGCTATAATATAAATTAAGCTAAAAATAGTACTTAATACATACTAAGCACCATTTTAAGATTTTTATCTGTGTTATTATTCATTTAATCTTCGCAGGTCTGTAAGGCAATTGTTACTATTATGTCCATCTGGCTGAGAGAGCGTTTTGCCATCAGGCACTGAGGTCTCTCTACCATATGCCCGTAACTGCAACACAAGGGTCTGGGGGAAATGGGCAGCAATGCTGTCCCTTCCCTGCCATGGAGGAGACTCTTTGGCATGGGGATTTCCTGTAGTGACTGTGCAGAAGCTTTGGGAACCTCTCAGGCACAACCTTCCCTCTCCCCTTATCTATTTTGCCACAGCCCAATACCCTCTGGCTCCTCATCTCCAGCGTTCATGATTATTCAGGTAACATCTCTGATATCTAGGGAGAATGGATATGAAACAGCAGGCTAGCAAAGGAGAAATGTCTTCAGACAGCCAGGACTGCCATGTTCTTGACTGGCTTCCAAACCCAAACTCACCCAAATGGGTTCGGATGTGGCCCTGGGTGGGGATGACCACTCACTGCCCATCTGGAAACAAGTGAGACCTCTCCAAAGACCCAGTGAGTGACGAACAGGAGGCTACCAAAGGCAGCACCGGCCAGCAGCTGGGTGGGTCTAGAGGGCACGCCTCTGGCCACCTCACCCGTCTTCTTCCCCTCGGGTTTGCTGCAGTCACCATCTAGAAGATTTTTAAAGAAATGAAAAAGGGCCCGTTACATGGAAATTTACCCTCTCTACTTAACAGACTTTCAACCAGGAGAAAATGGTGTCTGGCTTTAAGAGGCTTTCTCTAGAAGGGGAGGTGAGACATGCAACTATGATACAAGGCAGAACGCATGCGGCTGTTCTGGCAGAGATGATTTCTGGCAGGCTAGATAAGGAATGGTTTAGGGAAAACAGATATTTTGGAATTTGACAAGTGAAAAATGCAGAAAGCTACCGATGTTATAAGAAGTTAACAGATTGAGCAAAAATATACACTGAAAAAGTGAATGACATGTTCAGGAGACAAATGTCATCCAACTGGAGTGAACTTTTCCAGTACATTAGGCTGCTTCCTCCCAACAGGGAGTGTGTGTGCCCAGAGTTATAAGTGTACATTTACTGGGCAGTTACTATGTGCCAAACGCTCTCCTGAGCCTTTTTTTTAGTAACTCACTCAATCTTTACAACAACTTTATATGAGATTAATACTAATATCCTTTAACAGATTAGAAAAACAGGCCCAGAGAGATACTAACTTGCCCAAGATCACACAGGTAGTACTGAGAGATACAGGCTGGAGTTTAAGCAGTGTGGTTCCTTAACTCTGTCATACAGCCATAATTCATGGTGCTGTCACCAAGAGTCTCCAATTCATCACAGCAAGGTCTGCACACACACAAATAACAACCAAAGAAAAGACTAGCAGGAGAGTATCTGTACAGGAACAGAGAGTCTAGTGGGCTTTGTGACTGTGAAGCCTCTGCAGGGTAGGAGGCAGAAGGGTCTGCCTAGGAGGCTGGCAGAAGAAAGCGATTCTGGTAAGAATGAGATCAGAGGAAGGAGAAGCAAGCTGAAAGCAAAGGTGATGGGAATGGGGTGGAAGGGATCAGCTAAGCAGAGAGTCTTCAGAGAAAAGAGTCATCCAAACTGAATTGGCAGTAAGTATGAGTGTGACTTCATCCTTAGGACACAACAACTCTTCAAATTGAACAACAACAACAACAACAAAGAATACATCTGGTATATTCAGAGATCCTGAACAAGCCAGTGACGATCTGATTTTTGGAAATGGGGGCACAGGACAAATCCAGAGGAAGAGATGGACACCCAACAAGAGGCAAGAAAGAAGAAAAGCCAAGTCAGGGGATGTAAGCAGTCCCTTGAAGGCCTGATCATTACCTGGTTGTACCTGAGCCATGTGCTTCCGAATTTGCACACCCACACATAAGTGTTTTATGAAATATAAAACATACATTAGGGGACTAGACTGAGCTCTAATGTTCTAATATTCAAGTCATGTGACTCATTTACTTGCTTAATTTCCCCCATTTTGTTACCTCTGTTTCATGCCGAGACTGGGGCCGGAGGGGAATCAGACAAGCACATTTTGTTCATGCTGAGCCAATACTCTCCACACCTGCGTTAATCTGTGCAGCTTCTCCTTGTATTTACAAAAGAACAGTGACTCACTGAGAGTTACACAAAAAGCCAGGAGCAAGTTAATTAGAATCCAGTAGCACTTGTCCTCTCTTTTCAGAAGAGTCTCAAGTTGGCCTAGGAAGCAACTCCCAAGCTGTGTATCTGCATATCTCAGACAAAGTCAGCTCCAGTAAAAGCCAGTCGATTTGAATAATGCTCTGAATGTGTAAGATTTGCTTCCTTTTCAAGCTTCAGATTTGATACTTCAGATTCCTGGGTAAAAACCAGGTAGTTGCCACTCCCATAAATCCCAGTAACTTCCCCACTGTACAGTTGTACTGGGGCCAGCGTGAAGGTGGAAGATGGAAAATACCAGCAACAGAGGCCAGTCCACAGGAAGAAGAAGGAAGACAGTACATGACCTGTAGGTATAAGACCTGGTTCTAATCTCCCATCGACTTTGTGGTACATGCCACTGATGGGTTTTTTGTTTTTTCCCATCTGTGCTATCAAGAACAGGTATCTTCTGCTGAGATAACAGCTCAATGGCTTTGTTACTATTTCAGAGTGGGGGAAAGCAACTGAAATGGAAGTACATTTCCACTCATACTACATTCATACAGAAAAGACAAACTCTGCAGGAGAGATGATCCTGGAATAAGTTGAACACATGTTTACCTGTGCCAATGCGATCAAGTGTGGCTATCATACTTAATGCCAGGATCACTCTGTTGGACATCTGACAACTCCAGACTGGATTTAGTGAAGTATACCATATGCGGAGGACGACAAGAAGAATCTGTCCTAAAATAAATCCCCAGATTCTGTGGTACCTGCAAGTGCAAAAGTATTTTTAAAAACTTCCCAATGGGAATTCAAGGTACTACGTCCATTGTGAATTTGTTTCATAGAATGAGTATCTGAAATTGTCTTGTTGGTAATATGTAGTAATATACTTGACTTAGCCTTTATTTAGCCCATTACCTAGGCAACTTGTTATCATTCTTTAGTTCTCAAAACATTACTAGGGCCTTGCATAGTGGAACACACCTGTAATCCCAGCTACTCCTGAGGCTGAGGCAGGAAAATCCCAAGTTTAAAGCTAACCTCGGCAACACAGTGAGACCCTATATCAAAAAAAAAAAAAAAAAAGGACTGGGTATGTTGCTCAGTAGTAAAGTGTCCCTGGATTTAATTCCTAGTACTAAAAAAAGAAAAATATTACTGGGGCTGCAAGTGTAGCTCTGTGGTAGAGCATGTGCTTAGCATATGTGAGGCCAAAAAAGAAAAAAAAAGTTACTGAGATTGATGGCAAGTTCACATCCTCTTTTGTGAAGAGGAGGCAAAGGTCATATGAAAAGTAAAAACTACAACTTGGAACTCCTGGTCCCAAGTTTCCCTTTGGTAATTGTACTTGTTTGTCCACAGATGCATAAGACATGAATCATACCTTTGCAAACCACTTCCTGACCACCAAGTCACGCTGTGCACTATCAGCGAGGAAAACACACCAAGTGCAAGGACCACCAGCCGAAGGATGGCATTTGGAGCCTGGAAGGAGGCTAGGCCACCTACAAAAGAGTAAGGAGAGCTGAAAATTTCCAGCAAGAATGCATTGCCACTCAATGATCCACATTCGATAAATGTCAGGTCTGACCCCATCTTTACATTCAAGAGAGTTAGTCAATAATTATATACCCATCTTTTAAAATATTTTTAAAATATCGTTCACATGCCATACAATTCACCATGTTAGAATACAGAAATCACTAATTTTTCATGTATCCACAAAGCTATGCAACTATCGCCACTAAACCCAGAACATTCACATCACCCCCCACCAAAATATATATATAAATAAATAAATATAAATATATATGTATGTATATAAATATAGGTATGTATATGTAACAGTCACTCCCCCAATTCTCTCCATTCCCTCTTCTCCCATGCCCAGCCCCTTAGCAATCACTACTCTTCGGATTTTTCTTATTTGGGGCATTTCATAAATAGAATCATATAATATGTGGCCTTTCGTGTCTGACTTCTTTCTCTAAGCATAATGTTTTCAAGGTTCATCTGTGCTGCAGCTTGTATCAGTACTTCACTCCCTTTTATGGCTAAGTAATGTTCCATTACATGGATATACTGCACTTTGTTTATCCATTCACCATCTGATGGACATTTGGGGGCTCTTATGAATAATACTACTATAAACATTTTTGTACAAGTTTCTGTGTTAACATATGCTTTCATTTTTTTCATGGGTACATGCCAAGCAGTGGAGCTGCTGGGTCATATGATAACTCAGTTTAACATTTTGAGGACCTGCCAAACGGGTTCCCAAACCAGCTGTACCATTTTACATTTCTTACATGTCTGCCAGCGATAGAATGAAAGTTCCAAGTTCCCTACATCCTTGCCAACACTATTATTGTCAGTCTTTTTATTATGGCCATCCCAGTGGGTGAAAATATTTATGGTCAAAAATAATCTAAGTCAATGAGTAAGAACTAGTTTCATAGTTAATTCCATAGTAATTATCTAAAATATCTGAGATACCAGAGGTGAGATTGAATGTAACACTCAGACTTTCTCTGTGGCTATGTGAGAATCCTTTAGGATACTAAAAGCAGAGTTTCTTCCTGACCTTGTGGAGCATTTGAAGGGAAATCATGGCTAACTGCAGCCTCTGTTTAGCATCAACAATGTTCTGTGGTCACCTGGAAGAATGCCTGGAGGAGAATGGCCTCTTCATCTCAAGTGACTTCCCCTATCACTTTCTTAAATGCAGATCTACTTCCGCTCAAAGTGCTAGGTTTTCATGGAGGGAGGAGGTGAAAAGAGAATAATAGCAAGCATCACAATCATACAATAACCATCTGAAACTTATTTATTCTTATATCCCTGATAGTTACTAGAAGTTACTGAAAAGAACTGAACTTAAATAATGAAAACCTTTTCCAGCAACTGCTCAGTTGGTGGCTTTGTAAGTGAGCCCACAGGGCCAGTACTGAGCAAAGGTGATGAAAGACACTAATAAATCACTCCCCGAGAAGCCAACCTGGAGTGGAAGGAGAAAATGAATCTTGCAAGGCTGAGACCACAGTGATTCATATAAGGATACTGGGTAAGCCAACAGCAGTTGAAACCAGTTACCGTATACTCAGTTCAGGGTGGAAAGCTTCATTTCTATTACTTCCAGAGCTGAAAATTTCATGATCTACAAATTTAACATGTCTTTCAATGCCTATGGATGCCATCTTTGTAAAAGGCACTGTTTCTAGGAGTCTTTCCCACTATTCTTTCTGAGCTGTTTTTAAAAAACAAAAGTTTTACACCTTCACTGGGAACCATAGAACTCACTGCACTGTATTCTGCCATCTTCAGGAAATGACAGACAGACAAACATAGCAATGTCCTAGTGATTCCTGGCACTGCTTCTGAAAAAGTCAAATGACTGTTTCTAGACAGAACATACAGCATGATTCATGAACAAATGCCACACACAAATCTCAGAGACACTGAGTTATAACAGGAGCGCAAGAAGTCCACAGCTGTTAGTTATGGGTCCAACCAGCCTGGAGTATGGCATTTTTTTTCCTTTGAAAATCTATTCCCTGTAACTCATGTTCTTACTTTTTTACCACCAATACTACTCTAAGCTTTCTAAATATTTATTAATATGAAAAAAACCCAGTTCTTTATGATATCAAGTATACATTTAAATTTTTCACTATTTTTTGGCAATATAATATATTCAAATTCAGAATTCAAAGGGATAGAGTGCAAACTTCCCTCTCCAGTTCTGTCTTTTGGTACCCAATTCTCCACCTGAGTGGCAACTAAAATGCTACCATTTTAAAATCCTTTTGGAGATATGTAATGCATGTTCAACCAAGTAATAAATATATTTTCACCCAAACATTTTAAAATAAAGGTTAACATTCTATAATAGACACTATTTAAAACAACCCTTTCTGCAAAATATATTTTGAAGAACATCCTACTTCATTACATAAATAATATTCTCTCATTTGTGCTGCATAATATTCTGTAGTATTCCAAGTTTCATAACTATAATCCATTTAACCTGTCCTTAGAGAGGACACTTACGTTATTTCTAGTCTTGCTATTATAAATATCCCTGTAATATTTAAATATCATGCCAAGTTTACCATGTGAGTTCATCTGTAGGATATATTCTATAAGTGGAACTGCTGGATAAAGGTTATATACAGATTTGTAATCTGAACAAATACTGCTAAAGTACTCAATATAGAGGTTGTGCCAATTTACATGCCCAACAGTAATGCATGAGTACCTGTTTTCCCACTCTTATGATTCACTACAGTCACGCTCTATTCTTGACCAATCCATTTGGGACACTACAGATAAATATGTATGTGCATAATTTATTGTCTATATATTTTATTATAGCTTTTAAAACTGATTTTATTTTCTTTCCAGTGACTAGGCATATTTTTGCTCCTTTTCTAGTGAGTTGGTCTTTTTTTTTTTGTCATTGGTTTGTAAAAACTCTCTATATTCGGGAAATTAGTTGAGTAAGAGTTGCAAATAGTTTTTCTATGCTGCTGTTTGCTTGTATGGTATTTATCATGCATAATTTTTGTGTTTCTTATGCAGTATTATTTTAAAATCTTTCCAATAGTTCCTAAGTACAGAGTTATAGTTGAAAAGAAAAACACACTATATTCAAGAGTTGACCTTTCTTCAACATATCCTTATCCTCCTTTCAGTGATTTTTTTTTTTTTTTAGGCCCTTCCAATCTGGCAGAAATGTCAGAAATGTAAAGCACATTGACTCTCAGTCTAATCTTCCAATTTTATTAAAACTCTTCTATGGTGGTAGTAAGGGAAAGAAAACTCTTATGTTTTGTTCATTCAGTCCTTCAGCCTGCAATGAAGAGTCTACATTATTTCACTTGATCTTTAACTAAAAAGGAAAACCTTAAAGAAACACTTACCTACAGTGATGATCCTAAGCAGGGTTAGCATCCACTTCTTATTAGCCAGCTTCCAGAAAGGAGTAATTATTAGGAGTGCTGGAGAAAGAGAGACTATGCCAAAAACTTCAAACCCAGTGAGCTCCAGTGTTTGCAGGGGAAAGTAATAGATCATCGGTCCTAAGTCATGGTAGAGAGACCAAGAACCATAGCCTACAGAAAAAGTTGAGAAGAGAGTGAGTTATGACTTTGGCATTGTTTCCAACAGTGGCTCTCCACTCCACTCCACTGCCAGCCTCCTTCCTCCAGCTTTAACTGGGTGCCATAATTGGGTACAGTAACAGAATTCCTTCCCTATTGGTCAGGCCCTGGTTGAGAATGACTTCCTGCTGTCGTATCCCCTACCCATACTCTGTTCATTCTTTAATCATGCCACATTCCTGTAGATGTTTCCTTTAGTTAGTTAAGTCCTCTTATCTTGATCATCTGAGCTGATTCTGGCTTCTGGTCAGGACCCTGATTGATAAAATTCCCTCACCTAAGTTGACCCATACACATATAATGTTAAATATTCAAAAAATCAAAAAGAGCAGTTAACAGCAGGACACCCCCTCCCACCTCAACAACTACATCCAAAGCTCTGTAGTAAGGCAATAATCATTTTCTTGCAAGTAGATCATTTAAAACTAGCCCTTAAGAAGTGAGGCAGGGTGGCTGGAGAACCCCCATCTAAAGTCAGACACACCTCTCTGCCAAGGACTTTGTACAATAATGACGATTAACACTCCTGGGTGCTCACTAGGCACTAGGGGGATTAACAAAAATCACCTCTTTTTCCTCACACAACCTTATGTCCAATGGCATGGAAACCCTTTCTATGCTCTCTTACAAATGCAAAAACTAATTAAACAAGGACGAGACAACACAACATATAAACAAAATCCTGAGACTCTGGTTAAGATGCAGAAGTACCAAATAGCCACGTGTACTCAGACCCAGCAATCTGTTTCCACATTTGCTCTCTTACCACTAGATGTGGTACCTTTCTCTCAAGTTACTTCTCAAACTCCCTTTCTTAATTGAAGATATAGGACTTTAAACCACCTGGCAGAGTTGTTAGACTTGAATGAGATGAAGTACAGAGTCCTAGCATCAGAGGAACCTACTCCATCTCCCAACTTACAAGATACAATGCAGGGCAGAGTCTGAGGCTCTCTGAAAGCTACCAGCTCCCTGAAAATCAGGCTTTCAGAAGGGCTCCCTGCCAGCCCAGAAAGATCCTTGTTTGTTAATGAACAGAGAGGTGCTAGTGATTTCCTAAACGTCAAGGTACTCTGATTTAAATCATATAGTTCCAACAGAACTACACTAGTAAGTCCTTGGTGGTTTTTTTTGCAAAACTGGTAACTGAACAAACAAGACTCCAGTCGGATGCTTTTCACCAAATGCCCAAGGGTACAGCCCCCAACCATCAAGGCCACTTGGCAACTCTGCCCGGGATTCACCTACAGTCCCTGGGGAAAACCGGTGTCCTTTTCCTTGGGAAAGGTAAAGTTCAGTACTGGTTAAAAGTTAAAAATCACGGGTGGGAGATTGCGGGAGACTGTACAGGCGATGCGAGTTCAAAACCTACACCTGGTGAATCTGCGCCCCTCGGACGCCATCCCAGAGCTGCGTGGGAACTCAGAAAGCACCCTCTTCCGCGGGCGCCTCGCCGAATTCTCGGCTTTGGAACCTCAATGTAGGTCTTGTCTTTTATTCCCTTCTGCAGCAAAAGTTCCCAGGGGACGATAAGCATCTCCATTCTGGGCCCGGAACGTGCTCTTCTCCCTGCCCGACCTCAGCCAATCGGGTGGAGCGCCGCGTCTCCAGGGAGGTCCAGGGGAGTAGGCACCACCCAACACGCGGCGAGGACAGCCTCGGCTTACCCAGAAGGGTCTCCAGGAGGATTTCTCTCCACAGGGAGGGCATCGCCGCCATGCGGAAGGGAGTGGCGCTATCTAAAAAAGCCCCCTGGTCGGAGCTGTAGTGCGCGCCCTGCGCTCCCCGCCAGCCGCTGCGTCCTCCCAGACCCGCGTCCGCACTCCAACTCCCCTCCCTAGACTACTGCCCGCTGGTTCGCCAGGCGTGCAGATCCGAGGCGGGGTGGAGCCCTGCTAGACGGTCCCCTTCCCGCCACACCCAGCCCAGCCTACGCGGCCCGACGCCACCTGTGCGATCTGCGCGGGTGCGGGCGCCTCGCGTCCCAGCGCCGAACTGGCAACGCCACCGCCTCTGCCCACGCGACTGTTAAGGACAGGAGTCCCAGTACCAGGACCTTCGGACTCGGACCCGCCATAGGGCCAGAAGCAGGTTGGCTGGCCCACAATCAGGGCAGCCCCCAGGCTGGAGCGCTGCCTGCGTGCAGGAGGGAGGGAGCTAGAGCAACTCGGAATCGGTGATGTCCTTGTTTGAACCAGTCCTAGGAGGGTGCATTGCTAGAAGTCAGAGAGGAAGGCTGGAGACCCAGATGGGGCAGCCTGAGCAGGGGAAGAGAACAGATGAAGTGGACTCCAGTGCTTGGGGTGCCTGATGTGGCCACGCGATGCGAACCTAACCTTGGCGTTCCTAGTAGTCTGCGCTACTTTGTCTAAGCTTAGTTAGGAAACGCGCAATTAGTTAACTGCGTTCTGGAAGGGCGGCCAGAAATTTTAGCATTTGCAGGATTTTCTGACCTTCAGAGACGCTCCACCACTTGCTCAGGGAAGAGAAAACATTCGAAGAAAATGGGCCTGCCTGCTTAATGTATGAGTAATGGTATTTGAGATCGTCTATACGTAAAAAGGTGGCAGATGTTTCTCATTAATGGAGCTTGTGAACTAGGCCAGTTATTTCTTTCTCAAATATTACACCCCAAGATGTCTTGAACTTACTGGAAGAATCTCCTCAAAGTACTTTATTTCAGTTCATTTGTCTTTTTAAAAAGAGCTTATCATTTATCACTTTTGGAAAGTTTGTTCTAAAATTTAACAAGGATGGGATGCCCAAAAAGTACGGAGTCACTTAAGCAATTAGTGCTATCAGTTCATAACAGTTTTGAGCAAAGAGTTCCTAATCACCTACTTACCTGTAATTTCAGCCACAAGGAGAATTATATAGATTAATTTAGAACAGAATGGAGAGTCCAGAAATCACACTCTTATCTAGGGTCAGATGATTTTATACAAGCTTGCCAAGACAGTTACATAAGGAAAGAATAATCTTTTCAACATTGATTCTAGGATAACTATCCATTACGCAAAAGCAGAGAGTTGAACCCCTACCTCACACCATATACTTATCAACTCCAAATGGATCAAAGCCTAAAATGTCAGAGATCAAACTATGAAACCATTAGAAGAAAATATAGAAGTCAATCTTCATGATCTAGAGTTAAGACAATGAGTTCTCCAAAAGCACAAATGACTAAAGAAGTAATAAATATATTGGACTACATCAGAAATTAAAAGCTTTCTTTCTCTTTTTCTTGAAAGAAAATGAGTTTTGGTGAGCAGCTGTCAATCTCTGCTACAAGAAAACTAAATAGAGTTGTTTTAAGGTTTAAGTAAAGTACTATAAGGCATACACTCAACATCTGTGGTATTCACAGTAGTTAGGAAATGACAACTTGTATTATTATCTGTATGCACCCCTGTTATGTTTGGACTAATCACATGGTAGGTCTTTAGGACACGTTTGACAAGTATATTGACGTATATTGACAGCATCTTCATCAAGTAATCATTTTTAATTGCCTTCTCTAGACTTTCTATAACTCATTCTGGCTTTTTCCAGTTACAGAGTCAAGAACAGCACTCAGTATGCCAGGAGACTCCCCTTCCTGACCTTCTCAAAGAGATAATAATGTTTCTTTTGTGTTCGCAATCTTTTTTTTTTTTTTTTCTGATTTGCCAGTTTGTCTTCTGGGGGCACATTGTGGGAAAGTTTGTCATTCATTTCTTTTGCAGGGAGGGCAGAGGATGGATACTGGATATTGAATCCAGGATCATTTTACCACTTAGATACAGCCCCAGTCCTTTTATTTTATTTTATTTTTATTTTGAGACAGGGTCCTGCTAAGTTGCTGAGAGTCTCACTAAGTTGCCCAGACTGTCCTCCAACTTGTGATCCTCCTGCCTCACCCTCCTGTGTAGCTGAGGTTACAGGCCTGTGACACAGTGTCCAATTTGTCATGACTCCTGATGCTTTCCTGTGTAGCTTATAAGTTTAGTTTAAATTATTGTTGCTGTAGTAGGTTAACCATGAAGTTACTTTTAATTTCATTCCCAAATGTCATAAGTTAAATGTTCATATGAAATTTTAATCATCTTGCTCTCCACCACTGAGTGCCATCGTTATTTAACTACTGATATTATATAACATTTATACCCAACATGTAGGATAGGAGTTATTCTATAACTGATGAGATAGCAGCAATATTCAGTATGATCTGCCCTATGAATGCATCCATTATATATAAGTTTAGTCCTACTACCTTAATTTTCATATTTACGCTCTGCCTGGTTTCAATTTCAAAGGCCATGGTCTTTCGTTTTTGTTGGACTCTCTTCTTTGACCTTGGGTTGCCATTTGCATTCTTATTTTTCCTGGAAATGAATGAAAGCCCTGATGGCACTGCCCACTGCCTCCTACTCCCCTCCCTCTTGGAGCATAAACACATCAAGTTCAGTCAGAACACGTTAAGACTACTTTTCTTTTTATTAGAAGACAAGAAACTCTACCAAGAGATAACACTTCATGATATAATGAAGACCTTCTGGTCTGTTAGTGAAAAATAGAAATGCTTTTCTTTAAAGAGGTAAACTAAGAAACCCCTTTACATCATCTCAGGCTCACAATTATGCTCAATTTTTTAAAAGCATCTACTTTAGGAGAAGCTAATTCATATTTTACAATGACAAGGGTCTGTTTCTCCTTTGTATTGCATGTCCCACTGAAGGAGCTGCCTCTACCTGAGGGTCTTATGGAAGAACCACCTCATCTCTGCTCACACTGAGCAAACAGGGGCTGGGAGTAGAGATCAGTGGTAGAGCACAAGCTTAGCATGCACAAGGCCCTGGGTTCCATCCCGGCATGGAGAAGCGAAAAACAAAAATCAAACAGAAAGCCTAGTGCCCAAGCCAATCTCAGTGGGTAATGCTATGATTCAGATAAGTGTCTTCCAAAGGCTCATGTGTTAAAGGTCTGGTCCCCTAACCCCGGAGCCTCTTGGGAGGTGTTAAAACCTTTAAGAGAAAAAATTGGTGCAAGGTCTTCTGGTCCCTGGGAGCCTGCCCTTGCAGGGAGTGCTAGGATCCCAGCCCTTTCTCTTCCTCTTTCGCTCCTGGCTGACCACAGCTTTGCTCTTCCTGGCTTCCCTACCATAATGAGTGGCCTTGCCACAGGCCCAGAAGCAATGGGAGCAGTCAGCTATGGACTGGACCCTCCAAAACTGTGATCCCAAGTAAAACTTTCTCTGTAAAAGGGGGATTGTCTCAGGTATTTGTTACAGACAATGTCTACAGAAAAAAGACAGGAAGTGTTTTGAACAATAATGTGATCTATTGCAAATCTCTTTTTTATTAGCTCTTTCAGTTTTAATTCATAATTGATTAGTAGGCATTTAGTTATTATCTCTTCTTTTCTTCTGGTACTAGGAATTTAACCCAGGGGGCTTCTACCACTGAACTACATCTGAAACCCTTGTTTTGTTTTTTGTTTTTTTATTTGGAGACAGGTTTTCACTAAATTGCATAGGCTGGCCTTGAATTTGCGATCCTCTCGCCTCAAACTCCCTAGTCGTTGGGATTGCAGATGCATACCACTGTGCTGGGCTTGGTTATTATCCTTGATGACTTGTTTTTGTTTTGTTTGCCTAATGCATTTAGAATATTATTTCATGGCATTAGCTGATTCTTTCACAATGTAAATTTTAATGCTTAGAACATAATTCCATGGCATAGTTATATACAATCTATTTGACCATTCCCCTTTGGAAGGCTGTCGGGATTGTTTTGTTTATTGTAGCACTCAAACTGACTCCCTACCTAAAAACTATGAATACTCATTACCTATGTGGGGTTTTTAACTTTTATTTTAGTGTTTTGCCATATAGTTCATTTTTAAAAAATGTAACATTTCTCCAACAAAATGAGAGAAGTTATAAACTTCTCTAAGTAGATGGTCCTTGACTCTGTTTTAGCCATAGTCTTCATGACACCCACAGGCTTTGCTTGAGATTAGACTTCAACTCATGACTGAAGGAGTGGAGTATGGCTTTGTGTGGCTCCCTGTACTTTAGACAGGTAGGTTTCCTTCCTTGACTAGGAAAAAAGAAGAAGCACTCCACAGCAAGGAAGACCAGCTACCAAACATCATGCTTATCTTCCTCTGTCCATCATGGAGAGTTGTTACTGGAAATAAAAGTAAAAACTAAAGCCAAGGCCTACGTTTCTGAGCTCCCTTGGCGTCTCCATGTGTCTTGTGTGATTGGTTCTCACCAATGTGACCAGAGTGATATGTGTCGCTTGTAGAGAAGGGGGCTAAAAACCACTGCTTTTCTCCCCTTCTTTCTTTATCAACCTATAAAAAACAAGGAAGAGTCACAAGAGGAAGGGCAAATAAGTGCTTCAACTACTAGGAAGAGGGCAACCAGCGTCCTGCAGGGAGCTCTGACTTTGGACTGTTGGGTGTGAATGTGTGAAATCACTGCAATGATTCGGTTGATTCACTCTGGGCTACCGTTGCTTTCTCCAATACACCCTCCATCTGGTTTTTCCCCAGGAGTTAAGAAGACATAAAATTTAAAGGGTCTGCCATAGCTTTCATCTTATGTCCCTTTAGGCACAGGAAAGAAAGAGAAAAAAATCAAGTCAAAAATGTGATTTTTGTGTTTGAACTAATCCCTCCTCCAGGAATTGTCATGCTGCCCCAGATGAGGATTTGTCCAGTGAACTCCACCTAGGGAAATCAAGACAGGCAGGCATCCAGCTCCCCAGAGGCCTCTCTCAGATTTTCACCTGAGATGACACAAAAATGAAATCACAAAATCACAACATTCTTTTACAATAGAAACCTGGGGATCATCGTGCAACCA